GGAGATTTTTGAATTTACAATACACAAAGAAGAAAGTTCTGACATCAAAAATAGGGAATTTTTTTTAATTGAATGTGCAAATACCCCTCATTTTAAGAAAAAGTATTTGAAAATAATTATGGCTGCAGAAAGTGGGAGTCTCCGCTAAAAGTGGGAGAGTTCACATGTATGACATGCTGTGGGCAAATTTTCCTTAGAAAGAAATGAATCATAAGTAGTATTTAAAAGTGCCTCTTAGGATCTTGTTTGTTGTACTATTTTTAAAGATGGTGGGGTAATTTATGTTGTTACATGAATATGGCAAGAAAAAAATCTCTTAAAACAATCGATGAAATCTGCTTGAGAACAAGTATATTATTTTACGTCAGCAAAATTTACATAATGCTTAATATTGTAATAGTATTCAAAATTTCTGATCCAATTCCATGTACAATTTCATTATTCAGTTTTGTACAATATTTTTGGTTTTGATATCATGAACTATATCATGACTGATTCATATACAAGTTTCCTGGATCAGTATTATGTAAAAATTATTATTTCAGCATTGTGCACAATGCAAACAATTTTGTTAAATCACATCAACAGATTACCAGAATATTTTTCCTTTATTTAAAGGAACGAAGGCTAAATTTTCTTACCTTTCTGTTTAACTTTGCAAAGTTCAGTGATTTTTTGCCTTACAGACTGTTACAAATAACATCTGCCCAGAGAAAAAGACTTTGATAAAAGCAAAGACACTGATAGAAATAAACGAAAACAACCCCAGAAAAATCAATTTCGGTTTTCTTGTTTCTCTCTATTATCTTGTAATATAGTAGACATTATCAGCTATTTATAGTGTATAAATTTCCTACATTTATTGTAGACTGCCATAATTATATAGCTATTGGCACAAGCAAACACACACAGGATTTCAGTCTGCTTATCTAATAAGGGGCAAAAAGCACAGATTTCACAGTCTGCACAGGGGAAATATTATATGCCATTAGTATGCCAGCTCTTAATAGGAATTTTCTGTTATAGGTTTCCATATTATGTCTGTCTAGTGGAGCTTTTAATATTCTGCAAATGGACTCCAGGTTTTTTCGCTCTTGATTTATGGGAATATAAATAAGTCTAGCTTTCAGTGCATTAAATCTGCAGACTAATATTGTTCACAGTAATAGAAGTAACAAAGCAGAGGCATTTCATAGTCTGTAAGTTTAAATAGAACTGCTTTAAAAGGGCACTTAACCTTCATAATACACCATTACTTCTTTAAAATGTCTTAGGCTCCAAAAAACATGTTAGGCCAGTCATGTTTGAGTGTGCAGGACACATTCTGCTGCTGTCTCCACTCAAGATGAAGAACATTATGCCAGGCAGTTTGTGCCCCCACTCTTTGAAATACTAAACTATTTTAAACTATGCTCATATGTTCTACCTTGAAATATATTAGGAAAAATGGACATACATGTACATTACTAAATATTCTATGTAATAGAGATGATGGGATTATAAATCACTCCTGTGTTTTAAAATACATATTGTCACTCAGGGTTTTCATTATTTATTAACAAATTGACTATCCATATCAGTGGTTGAAATGCTGTTAAAATTAGTAGTATTTTCAGCTTGTAGATTGAAATATCCCTTTTGACCCTTGGCATCAATTCTTTCTGTAGGCGCATCTGTTGCCTCAGATAGAAATGAAAACCCTCTTCACTTAAATGATAAGACAATTTCTTGACCCGTCTATGATAAATGTGTCCATTATAGAAAAAAGAACCATCTAGAAATTATGCAAATGAAAAAGACATAGGATTGGGAAAGAAAACTAATAGTTTTACATAATTATGTAGATGCATATTATACTGCAAGGACAAAAATGTCAGATATAACTGATTATTATGATGATTATGTTAATTATAAGTTTGCATTCTCAATGGTACATCTTTTTTATTTGAATTGAAGTAATTTCCAGATGCTAACACTTTTCCCAAAAGGGAAAACATTCTTTACATATAAGGAAACCTTATTTAAGAAAACAAATCACATTATTACATGAGTGGCTGGATAGATGGGCATTGCAATTTTTTTTTCTGTGCTCGATCATCTTTTCATACATTTCTCAAGGGATAACAACTGAAAAAAAAGTAGAGGTATTGTTATATAGTCCAGTGGCAGCGTTAGCAAACTTGTACCTTGATTATAGCTTTTTTAGTTCTTTAAATGTATTATCTTCATACTTGGCCAAAACAACCCTTGGGTGAAGACCTATCAATAGACCAGACTAACCTTGACCTTCATCCATGAATGACCTTCAAGGTCAAATTTCCAATGTGACAGACCTATTAAAATTATAAATAAGAAATGTTAAGATTTGTTCAAATGTTTCTTTGTTTGCTTTTAGAAAAAGTAAAAAGTAAAGCGTTGCCCCTGCCCAGCGGTGGCTCTTGTTTTACATAATTATAATGCCACCATGACTTATTGCCCTGGCATATATCATTGGGATTTTGTGATCTGATTGCTTTTGGCAGAATAATGCCCCATTGATTTTCAACTTGACTATTTTAAAATTGGTAAATTTATTGTAATCACAAAGGTGTTGGCATCATACTTGATAAAGTTTTGCGTGCAAGTTTGTAATACAATAATATCTCCAAAACCCAAGAAGGCAACAGGTTGAAACTTCGCACACTTATTTTAGAGCATAATAGAAGGTCACTGTCTAAGGCCTATAACTCTAACATGAAATTGTCAGAATTATGACCCTTTTTAAATTAATTTTCTAAACTGAGAATAGTCAAGTACACTCTCCTGCCAAAGCTGTCCTACCAACGGCTCTTGTTTTTACTCCACATTGCGTATGAATATGTATTGGATTTTGCTTGGTGACATATGAAATAACTTTACAATACTTTAAATTGAGTTTGCTTATTTTTAGAATCACATACAATCAATCTACCTTATGTCAGGGTCTTTCAAATTCTATTTGAAAGACCCTGCTTATGTGTTATCATTAATCAGTTTAATGAGATATCTAGTTGGCTGGCTTAACTCCATAGGGTAGGGAGAGCATCAGATTTGTTATCCAGGTTAGTCTGGTTCAGTCCCTTGGAGAGATGATATTTCTCAGTGAGTCTCATATTTATTTGTTTCTTGCTGCTTGTTCAAAAATCATGTGAGACATTCACAGATTAGAATTACTAGTTAGTTGTTCTAGCTTAAAGGCTGGTGAGGTGGTCCAACTGCAGAGATATGTGTATGACTAATCAGCATAATCATAAAATGCCAAACAAACATAATCAGATACTTTCCGGATGGAAGTTACTAGCCGATGGAAGTAATTTCCTGCGTGTATTTGTCAGTGTTTTCTAAATGGTAGTTATTTCTAAACTAATGTATTTTCTATAGATTACATTGCGTATCGATATCAAAGATTTTTCCAGCAACTTATTGTCATGTGCAATTTTGTCAGATTTGCAGTCTCTGACAGGAAGTTATTTTTTATTTCACATTGGCTATTTTATTCAGATTTTTTACCAGTAAAGAACTTTTTTTAAAGCAGCATGCCTCCAGCTTTAAGCTAATTTTCATGAACATTTTGAGATTGTATTAAAAAGTGGAATACTTTTAAATGAACACAGAAAGTAATGAACACATTGCAAATAGCACTTTCAGTTCAGATACTTCATCAAATAAATTTATTTTTAAAAAAGCCCTTAGTATGTTAATCTGATGAAGTAGAAATATTTTACTAATACAATACTGCAAAATCAGTAATTCATCACATGTGACATGTACATTTTTACTTTATTTGTTAATAATTTTACTTCTCCTAAAATCTTAGTGCATTTTCATGGAGGTTGATTTTCTTGAAATATTTGGCTCACTTAGAGGCTATGCAGTAGAGGTGTAACGATTCATCGATGCATCGATGCATCGCGATCTGCCCTGTCCAAGATGTATGCATCGTAATGAATATATAAATTCCAATATATCAGGATGCAATACATATTTCACCACCCGATGCATCGATATAGCGGGAAAGTATCGCAATACACAAATAGTAATGGTAAAATGAAAAATACCTTTAATCCTTAAGTAAAAAGTAAAAATCCTTAAATAAAAAGTAATGTAAATTGTTGAAAAATCAAAACTTGAAAATAAGTTATAATAACAAGTTGAAGAGTTTATTGTTTTGTTATTGTAATAGTTTTATATTACATTCGTAATTATTCTGTGAACAAATTACCAAGTTTTTATATAGATATAAAGACTGGAAGTCAGTATTGTGATACGTATTGCATCGCAACATAAGAATCGCTATATGCATCACATTTAATATCAAAGTATGCAATACATATCGTGAATCGCATCATTTGGAAATGCAAGTATCGTGATATGTATCGTGACAGAAAAAAATGGCAATGCACAGCCCTACTATGCAGCTTTAAGCGTACATTATTATAGTGACTATGATTTTAATTCATTACAGGGTATTGCTGAAAGCCAATTTATCCATACATTTGCCAGACTATCGTTTGATGGAAATTTTATTTTTCATTTGTAATTTTTTTTTCCAGATTATAAGGTTGATTCTAAGTCTTTTATACAGGAAATTATTTTAAGCAAATTTGTGTAACATTAATAAAAAGTTACATTATTTTTCAGAATTTGCGGTTATCAAGCCATTGTATATATTTTGTTACAAAAGGGTAGTGAATACCCGAAACTTGTTCCAGCGTTTTCAAGTGTTCCTCTCATATTATTTACTGTTGTCATATATATTTTGTACAGTCTATTATTACAGAAATTATTTCAAATCAGTTGATGCCTACTTTTGTCTGAGATTATCCCTAAATGGTGTTTTTTGTCATTTGTACACTTCTTTTCTCTTCCAGATGATGCTGCTTCAAATGATTTTATGCATTTATTGATCTTATCATAATTATGCAATTTTAGGAAATTATTTCAAGCCAATTTATGTGTATATTTGTCAGATTATTTTCCAGAGGATCAGGGACCTTGTTTGGAAAGAAAATGTACTTATGATGCCGACTGTATTGTACAAGATGGAAGATCAAGGTGTGTGTGTCCTAACTGCAGTTCTGAGCCCTATGATCCAGTAAGTGAACTCTTTAAGATAGATAAATTCACTGTTTCATTCTGGTCACATTTGTGGCTTAGTGAGTAAGCCTGGCTAAATGCCCCTTGCCACTGTTAGTTCAAATCCTGATTCTCTCATGTGAGGGCGCTATCAAGCTACCTTCGGAACGTCAGTGGTTCTACTCAGGTGCCCTTTTATGCCTGAAATAATGCATGGAAGGGCACCTGAGGTCTTCCTCCACTAGTTAAGTTGGAAAAGTCGCTATATTATCTATACTGTGTTGGTGCGACATATAAAACCCAACAAAAAGATCAGACTGAGAGTTATAAACAGTATGTACCCTGCTGAATTTCTTAAATGGATTTGACAAACCTCCATTTTCAGAACTGTCTGTTAAAAGTTTTTGTGCATATCAAGATGATAATTTGAAGTTGGTCAGCCAACAGTATAGAGCCTGGATGTTTTTTGCTAATCTTTAACAAAAGTCCCAATAAAACTGAAATTCTGGATATCAAAACATAAACATATTTGCTGGAGTTCATTCCAGTATGGTATCAGACATACATTTCCTTGTCAAATTTTAATGTATTTTTAATGCATTTGCATTGGCTGGATTAAATAATTGTGCACAATTCAAAATACAATGCCAAAAGAGCATGAAGGAGGTTTTAAAAGGTACCAAATATTCCAAATTAATAGATTTTAGGACGCAAAATTTCCCAAGCTAGACATGATCCTTTTTTCCTAAGGCATGGAAAAGGCCTGTTATATAATAATATAGATGATTGTTTAGGTCATTGAAATTCTGCACAAATTTCAGATGTGTGGCAACAATGGAATAACCTACGAGAATGATTGCGAAAGACGACAAGAAAATTGTCAACGTATGCAAGTAACACAAGTTGAACACAGAGGTCATTGTAGTAAGTGGCTTGGATATTTGAGCTGCGTCACAACAAAACCAACATAATGGGTTTGCAACCAACATGGATCCATACCAGCCTGCGCATCCGCACAGTCTGATCAGGATCCATGCTGTTTGCTGTCAGTTTCTCTACTTGTTAAGGGTTTGTAAGTGAACAGCATGGATCCTGATCAGACTGCACGGATGTGCAGGCTGGTCTGGATCCATGCTGGTCGCAAAGCCATTATGTTGGTTTTGTCGTGGCTTGGATATTTTTTTATATACCAGATGTACTGTTATCTTGCTTTACTCTTGCTCCTTTTGCAATTTATCTATACCTAAATAGAAATAGAAAACAAACTGTAGTAATACTTTGCCAATTTGTACTTTGAAAACATCAATGGTAATATTTTGTTACATCTTTTGCAGCAAAATTGGACAATTAAAATGTAGCTTTCCAAGTAATACAATTGTATTTGTGGTACTGTAATAAAAGTTACGTTAATAAGTTAAAAGTTTGCTTTTTTATATTTTTTCTATATTTATTTTGCTACTCAGTTCATCAGATGTAAACTATCTTTATGTAATACAGTGAAAATCTTTTTTTAAATGCCACATTTATTAAGTATGTTTGAAAAATGAATACTGATTTAAGATTAATTATATTTTCTTCAAAACATGACAATCCTATCATCAATTTTAGTATATCTTTGCAATGAGCTACCAAAAAGCATGCATGGCAGTATAAAACGAAATATTACAATGTTGCTTTTCTTTCTTTTTTTTCTCATCAGTCTGGCTTTTATATCATCAATCATGAACTTGCTTAATTATGTAATGAATTTTCTCTGCTTTTAATTTGGAACAGTCAATTATGGCTATCCAAATTTCGATATTAAAGTACAAAAAATGAGATTCCAGCAGTATAAAGTCTGATGAGACCTCATGGCTGTGCTGGTTGGTCTGATCTAGCTCTATACTGGTGGCAAAAGCTTAGAACCACTTTCTGTTCAAGGCAGATTAAGAGCTAAGAATTAGTTTTAATTTAGATGATAAGGTTTGGCTTAAAGGCCCATTATGCCCATGAATAGCTTTTATTTTTATTTCTAAAAAAGGCTTTTTATATTTACTGTTTCTGTTAAAGTTTCCAAAAAGTTACTCATTAGCCAATTACCTGAATTGTGATTTTGCTTCTATATATATCGCTTTCTTGGAATTAGAACAGTTATAGATATTTAGTATTTTCAAATTGTATCTAAGTCAATTTACTGCTTTGTGTTCATTTTGATACTTTTATGACATTAAAGTTTCACATGAGCAGGTAAAAAGCATCAACCATTATTTAAACAGTTTGTCGCTTTCTAAAGAAGGAAAAAATTATACGTTTCTGAGGCGTTAGTTGAATGCGTATTCTAACAATTGATCAGACGTAATCTGTAATAAATGAAATTGTATCCTTCACAAATTTTAATAAGTTTAACTTATTGGAACAAGGTTGTATCTGAAATAGGCCAAATTAATAATCATGGTGTTTTTCTGTGCAAAATAGATATTTTACTGTATAAAATAGATATTTTACTAGCTGTACATAAAATGTGTTTTATCATTTATTTAAAAGATTCCATTGTTTCAGCAGTAGAATGTCTGTTTTAAAATATTTTATAAATAATAAAGCCCTCATAATAATTTGAAAAAAAATTAAAATAAACGTTGTTATATACAAGCATTGCAAACAAATACTGTAATTATTGTAGAATGATTTTTTGCGAAAATTGAATTGTGGTAAAGTTTGTACCTTAGCAATTATCTTTTACATCTATATTTGAAATTTATTTCAATAAGTTTTAATGAAAGCTTTTTGCTCTCTTACAGAAAACATAGAATGAATTCCTTATTTAAATCAATCAAACATTGATATTAAGTACATGTATATTTAAATCTTTTACATTCTTATTTTATTTAAAAGGTGTTTATCCTTTAAATTTTACATGCTCTTCTTTGTATGGAGGATTTAAAAAAATCCATTTGCCACGTACCGTCCAACCATTTTTCTAAAATCTGAAATGTTCAAACTATACTTTTAGCGACAGATGTAAAATATTTCTCCTTAAACTCTAGTTTTCCTATAGAGTTATGCTATAGGTAAGTTCCACATTGAGACTCCTTAAACATAAAAATATTACAAATGTGTTACAGTGGATTGTACGCTCGACAACAATTTTTGCAAGTACTACTCCACGTGCGAAACATCAGACGGCCTCCCTAGATGTGTATGCCCCACCAACTGTACACAGGTGATAGCACAATAAAAACCTTACTTCTGCACCTTCTTTTTAGACTCTCTCAAAACACATGGCTTTTCCCCCCGTTTTTCTTCTCAGATTTTCTTCTAATGGACTTGGTTCTGTTTTAAATTAAAAATTTCTATTGTAAATTTTTAGAGATTTCAGATTGGGTTATGTAGATTGCGCAGTGTGATTTGCAGATATTGTTTAAGATTAAGCAAAAGACTCTGACAAAGGCTAAGCTTGCAAGCGATTGAACATTTAACATCTCCATTCACCAAGATATTATAGTTTAAATTGAGCCCCACATTAGGATCAAGAGCATGTTTTCTTTGTGTTACACCAGTACTGGTTGGTTAGCCCAGGAAATTGACTTGGAACTGATATATGTTATTTGAATTATATGTTTAAACTAAAGATTGCATTGCGATAATAGGTCAAAGAATTCAAGCCAATTCAAGAACATGAATAATAGCTTAAAAACTCCCACAACAATCAAACATTGAAAATTTACTTCCTAATTTGTTGATTTTAAATTTTACCATTTCAATTAATACATATATAGTTTTAAGATGGTGTAGAAATTTTGTATTCTTTAATTTTCACTTTACTCTGCTATAATTCTTTTTGTTTCATTTTCTTTAGAAATTGTTTTCTTATTGTAGTCTTTACTCCTGTAAAAATCATTTGAGTTAGATAGTGATTGATCTTTATTCTTTGCTTCTCTAAGAATTCACTTTTCACTTCATCTGTTTAACCATGTTTATTTTCCTTTCAACAATTTTTATTGTATTCTTTGCTCTTCTAAAAATCTGTTGATTCAGAATTTAAGATTGGTCTTTCTTTACATCTATTTGTCTGTATTTAGTTACCTTTGAATAATTCTTTTTGTATTCTTTGCTCTTCTAAAAATCTGTTGAGTTAAATTTGATTATTATTGATCTCTCTTTACATCTTTCAGTTAAGTTTCCTTTTGAACAATCTTTTTGCATTCTTTGCTCTTCTAAGAATCCCTTGAGTTAGATTGGATTATTATTGATCTCTCTTCACATCTTTTTGTCTGAGTTTGGTTCCATTTGAATAATTCTTATTGTATTATTTGGTTTTCTAAGAAACTGTTGAGTTAGATTGGATCATAATTGATCTCTCTTTTTATCTTTTTGTCTGTGATGACTTCCTTTTAAACAATTCTTATTGTATTCTTTGCTTTTCTAAGAACTTTTGGGTTAGATTGGATTATTGTTGATCTCTACATCTATTTGTCTGTGTTTAGTTCCCTTTGAACAATTCTTTTTTGTATTCTTTGCTCTTCTAAGAATCAATTGAGTTAGGTTGTTATTCTCTGAACTTCTATTTGTCTGTTTTAAGTTTCCTTTGTATTCTTTGCTCTTCCTTTAGAAAAAGATGAGTAATCTCTCTGTAAATCTTCTTGTCTGCTATTTTTTTCTTTATTTTATTCCATTCTTTGATGTATTCTTTGCTCTTCAAAAAATTTAGTGAGTGATTGTTTTGTCTGTGCATCTGTTTGTCTATCTCTATTTTCCTTAAAAATTTCTTGTTTTATTCTTTGCTCTTCTAAAAATCAGTTGAGTTAGATATTCACTGAAGACTCTTTAAATTTGTTTGTTTTTAATTTCTTTAAACCATTGGTATTGTATATTCATTCCTCTTTTAAGAGCAAAATGAGTTAAATAGTGATTGTTTTCTATATATAAGTGTATTTATTTTTAATTTCCCTTTTAACAATTCTTAATGAATCTTTGCTTTAAGTTACAAAGTGGTTGTGGTGTCTGTACATCTGTTTGTCTAATTTAAGTTTCCTAAAGCAGCATATGTTCAAACTCCTTAAATACTTGGCTTTCCATAAATATGGTTAGAAAATGATTAGTTCAAAAATATTTATGCATAATCATTAGTATATATTTCCAAAAGATTCCAGATACATAATACTTTTGATGAGCATAATAATGGTTCTTTTTTTATAGTTTTAACTATGCCAATTATTATGTCAACATGTGTAAACTATGCCAATTATTATGCCAACACGTGTATATGCTCATTATGTGTTGGTGTACATTGCAGTCTATAACAAAAGTGTGTGGTACAGATGGTAACACATATAACAATGATTGTGAACTGATGGTCGCGTCTTGTAAGAACAGGAAACACATTTTACTGCATAGATTCGGAGATTGTGGTTAGCATAAATTCCTTTACATTAATTTAATTCTTATTTAAATACATTTACATTATTGAACATTAGGACATTTTTAACCCTTAGTTTTCATTTAACTGCCAGAATGTGATAAAAGACATATTGCTTATTTAATTGAAGGTCCACAGGTCATTTGTACAAGGTGCTTGAATGCCTAAACCCTTGACCTACTGAAGTTTTGTTTAATGGTCTTGTCCTACTTAAAATTTGGAATAGCTCATTATTCTGGGATTTCTTTTTCAAATTTCAAATATTACAATTTTTTTTTCAAGTTGGCAGGATAGAGTCTGGTTACTGACATGCACTGTTATGAAGGCTGGTCTTGCTCAGTTCTGGTGGCAAAAGCTGCCTGGCTCAATACTTGTGGCAATTGCTGGCCTAGTAGAATACTGGTGACAAGGGCTAGCCTGGTTCAGTATTTGTAGCAATGGCTAGCTTTGCTCAACACTGGTGGCAATGGCTAGCCTGCCTCAATACTGCTGGCAAAGGCTGGCCTGGCTCAGTATTTGTATTAATGGCTAGATTTGCTCAATACTGGTGGCAATGGCTAGCTTTACTCAATACTGGTGGCAATGGTTAGCCTGGCTCAATACTACTGGCAAAGGCTGGCCTGGCTCAGTATTTGTAGCAATTGCTAGCTTTACTCAATACTTGTGGCAATGGCTAGCCTGGTTCAGTATTTGTAGCAAGCTTGGCCTGACTCAATGCTTGTGGCAAAGGCTGGCCTGGCTTAATACTGGTGGCAAATGCTGGTCTGGCTCAATACTGATGGCAAAGGCTGGCCTGGCTCAGTACTGGTGGCAAAGGCTGGTCTGGCTCAGCACTGGTGGCAAAGGCTGGCCTGGCTCAGTACTGGTGGCAAAGGCTGGCCCGGCTCAATACTGGTAGCAAAGGCTTACCTGGCTCAGTACTGGTGGCTAAGGCTGGCCTTGATCAGTACTGGTTGCAAAGATTGGCCTGGCTTAGTACTTGGTGACCAAGGCAGGCCTGGCTCAATACTGGTGTCAAAGGTGGCTCAGTACTTGGTGGAAAATACAGGCCTTGCTCAATACTTGTGGCAAAAACAGGCGGCTTGGCTCAATACTTATGTCAAAGGCTGGCCCACTCAATACAGGTGGCAATGGCTGGTCAAGCTCAATTTTGGTGACAAAGGCTGGCCTGGCTCAGTACTTGGTGGCAAAGGCAGTCTGGCTCAATACTGGTGTCAAAGGTTGGCATGGCTCAGTACTGGTGGCAAATGTTGGCCTGGCTCAGTACTGGTGTCAAAGGCTGGCCTGGCTCAGTACTGGTGGCAAAGGCTGGCCTGGCTCAATACTGGTGACAAAGGCTGGCTTAATACTAATGGAAAAGACTGGCCTGGCTCAGTACTGGTGGCAAAGGCTGGCTTAATACTAATGGAAAAGACTGGCCTGGCTCAGTACTGGTGGCAAAGGCTGGCCTGGCTCAATACTGTGGCAATGGCTGGTCTGGCTCAATTTTTATGACAAAGACAGCCCTGGCTCAATACTGGTTACAAAGGCTGGTCTGGCTCAATATTGGTGGCAAAGGCTTGTTCAGTACTAATGGTAATGTCTGGCCCGCTCAGTATGGATGGAAAAGGCTAGCCTGGCTCAGCACTGATGGCAAAGGTTGGCCTGGCTCAGCACTGATGGCAAAGGTTGGCCTGGCTCAGCACTGATGGCAAAGGTTGGCCTGGCTCAGTACTTGTAGCAAGGCTGTCCTGGCAGAATAATTTTGTCAAAAGCTGCCCTGGCTCAATACTGGTATCAAAGATTGGCCTTGTGACTCATTACTGATGGCAATGGCTGGTCTGACTCAGTGCTTGTGGCAAAGGTTGGTATGGCTCAGTACCAGTGGCAAAGGCTGGCTTCCAATATCAGTTTTAGGGGATATCACAATGAAATTTTTTTATTCAGTCAGCAGTATTATGACTGAAAACTGTGCATGCTGTCCTGGCTCTATACTGTCAAAAGCTAGTTACTTCTGATTCCAGCAGGGTTAATGAGGTCATTGGTATCTTAGCAGAAAAGAGTGTAATAGTAAAATGAAATAAACTAAAAGCTGCTTGTTCACACACTGCTATGTAAAACATAAAATTTGCTCAAATTTTGATACACTAGTACGTGCACAATTTTAGATAGATTTTAAGATACATATTTAGTAATAAGCTTCTGTTTCATTAAAATAATTCAATATAGATTCCCCCAAAAATTCAAAGAGGAATCATTGTCCTTTTTGAAAATGAGTAAACCGTATTTTACTATTCATTTGCAAAATTTAAATACATTAACAATGTTGATTTTTTCCCCTGTATATTGCTGTATAAAGCTTTAAACTTTCAATGTGTGTCACTTATTCATTGAAACCCCCGACACCTTCCAACAAAACATATATTATATAAGTTGTATGATACCAAACATAGATAGGAATGAATATATACAGGTTCCATGACACAAAATATTTCAAGTTGTAGCATACAAAAGACAAAAATACGAAAGAGAAATTATACAAGTTGTAAGGTACAAAATGGATATAGAGAAATAAATTACAAGTTGTGTGATAAGAAATGATACAAGTTGTATGATACAAAACAGATAGAGGAAACAATACAAGTTATAACATACAAAAACAAATAAAAAAAATAGCACAAGTTGTGTGACACAAGTTAGATAAACAAATAATGCAAGTTGTATGATACAGGACAAGTAAAGGAAATAATACAAGTTATAAAACACAAAACAGATACAGGAGATAATACAAGTTGTATGATACAAGATAGATAAAGAAATAATACAAGTTGTATGATACAAAAACGGATACAAGAGATAATACAATTTGTATGATACAAGATAGACAAAGAAATAATACAAATTGTATGATACAAAACAGATGCAGGAGATAATACAAATAATTATTAACGTACAAAACAGATGAAAACAATAAAATGGTTTGTTACTTCATAGTGGACCTTGGTTACTTAGTCTTCTTAAAATGCTGAATATCTTTTTTTACCTGCAAATTTATGTTTATAATTATAACCAATTATAATAATTTTAAGTCATATGTGATTGAAAGAATTTAAGTTTTTAAGCATTTTAAAGGTACAAACTTTACCATTATTGTTTTTCTTTAGATAAACAATTTGAAGATAATTCAGACTAGTCTCGTGTGTGCTTCATTGACTAATCTTTTTATTTCTTGCAGTGCCTGTTATAACAACATTAAAATCCCATATACAGTATCACCAACTTTGTTTTCATTAACTTCCTATTTTACTTTCATAGTATAAAGATTATGTCATAAAGTTTGATGCGAAATCTGTGAAAAAAATTCCGAAAATATTCTGCAGTTTGTGAACAGGTAGCTTTTGTTCATGTACATACAGGATCTTAACCTTTAACCTACTGAAATTCTTAATTAATACCCCCCTAAATAGCTTTGCAAGTTAACATTTTTGGAACTGTTCATTATCAAGTTTGAGAATATGAAATTGAAAATTTAAAGTTAAGTCCGACAACAGTTTTAGGCCTGGCCAGACTGCAAGGATGTACTGGCTTGGGCCAAGTTGCTCTTGTGCTGGTGACAATTAAAAGCAGTCTTGCATTACTAATTCAAAGGGTTAAAATGTATGTATATACTGCTATAAATACAATTTATATTGGTAAATTTTACAAGATATTCATTTTGATTGAATAGTTGATTAAAATTTTGCCCCCACTACTAGATTTGCCCTTGTCTGTCCAGTCTGCTGCCCTGCAGACTGTCACTCTGTCTGTCGATTAGCAAAAACTTTTAAATGTGGCGGCATCCATGTCCTTAGGGACACATTTCTAGTTTATTGCCTAGATTGTATTATGCTTCATGTTTGTTAACTTACCTGTTATATTATATACCTGTTAATCAAAAGGTGAATGGTAGTACTTAAATGTAACACACATTTTTCCTTACAGAGAACTGTAATGGTGTTCAGTGTAAATATGGAGCAGACTGTGTCCATGGCACTTGTGTTTGCCCCCAGGTTTGTCCTCATGACTACCAGTCTGTCTGTGCCAGTGATGAGAAAACCTACAGAAATGCCTGCGAGATGAGGAAAGAAGCATGCCGATTGAATAAGGAATTAGAAATAGTAAAGAGTGGCGAATGTCATGAGAATGAAATATCTGGGTCAGGAGGTAAATGAACGGATTGGTGATAGGTTTTGCATTTGATCATATATATTTTTTAAGTTGACAATATACATGTATAATCTTCATAACTCAAAGGCAATTTCTAGAACATGTGATTAAGATTTATGATCACATATCCCATCTTCATAAGTGAGGCACAGTTTTACTTAACTCACCATCAAGGTCATGGTCACATGATCCTTAAAATTTCAGGCAATTTCTATAAGACACCACCAGAGTAAATAGCCACAAATCCCATCATCAAAAATTGAGGGAATATTTCATGAGGAAATGCATCCGTTTCTTTAGAATAAATGTTAAGGCAATATTTCATGTGGAATTCATCAGTTTCTTTGGAATAAATGTTAGATCTCAGGCAAAATTAAAAATTTTATTACTTTCATTGCCATAAAAATGTCAGTGCTTTTAGAAAGAAGCTCAAGTTTCTGATCTTCAGTCACAGAGCTGTGAAGGAAAGTTTTTAGGTTTTGTAAATTCAATTCCGTTTTCCATTATTCAAGAAAATGTCATTAAGTTCTCTCAGATGTAAATGTCACCCTCATAATGACATTAGGCCATGCTTATTTTACAAAATCAATAGAAATGTGCCAAAAAGTTAACATATTAATTCTTTGAGAGTGAAATACAGTGTAAAATTAGTTCATGCAAATTTCTTTGCTGAAACACTTATGATGTCACAGGGGCTTTAATATTTTTAATGCTTGTGGTATTAACTATTATTTCTTAATTCATGAACCAAAATTTATGAATTTAATATGACTTTATGAGTAACTCTGAGTGACTTGAAAATCCATTTATAGGGGAAAACCTTGCATTTATTTTTTAAAAACCTTGTTTTATGTTTTATAAAGAATTATAAAGATTATTTGACCTTCAAAAGAAAAAACACGTCAGTAGCAAGTATTTTGCAAAAATGCATTTATATATTGCCATAATTGATAACCATTCAAAAGTGTTATAAATCAAATTTATAATATTGCACAATTGCCTTTTTTTGAATTCTGTGTATAAAATGAAAATAAATAATAATCATAGATTTGCAGTACAGTTCTGTATACAACTGAATTATTAGCATTGTGATTAGCCAATCAAAAATGATGTTACAAATGTGCAGTATTATAAATTTTAAATTTCTTTTTTTTTGTATTATATGTAGTTTTCTGTTATTTGAACCACCAAATAAATGTAAGCCTCACAGTGTTTACATTGTCATATACATGTATATATAAGTATTGTATATTTGTTGTAAAAAATTCTATTCGCAATATTCTAATGCAATTGCTTTGCTAAATTTCTACAGATATGTGGTTTTCCCTTGGGAAAATCCAGTTTTGCCAAGAAAAAGAAACTATTCTTTCTTAGTATTTCTTTTTGCTAATACATTATCAATATCACCATAATAATGATTACGTAAGTGTTTATTAACTGTGTGTTACGGATGTATTTCTATTACCATCTTATAAATTACAAATGTTTGGTAATTTTTCAATATACACTTGAACTTACCATCTTTTGACTTGAAGAAGAAATGCAATGTTGACAGTAAATATGTCTGCTACACAAAAAATATATTAATTATAAAGTTCACATTTGAAGCGCCATGCAAGCATGTCGAAAATGTTAAATATGTCAAAAATAAAGTGTTCCAGGCTTACTAAATTCTTTTCATTACAATTGTATGGTAATTGGCAAATAATTCTAATGCAGTGGGAAAACAATAAATTATTATATTTTTAATGCTTATATCTATTTTTTATGAAAAAAATAACATAATGGTTTTGAAATTGTCAATGTGTAAAATTTAAGATATTTTAATGTAAATACAATTCTTCAAGTTACGTTTTTCACCTTTTCATATTTTCACCTTTTTTACCTCTGAAGTAAAGCCGTTTCATTCTGTAAGACTTATATATTTTTCTGAAATAATAAAGTATTTTCACAAGACCTTTTTCATTCTTATACAGTCTAACTTGCCCATGCGACCACGTGTATTAAGCGACTTTTGTCTTAAACGACCACTTAAAATTCCCCCCGATAATTTTCTCTCTACATCTTTAATGTATTAAGCGACTTTTGCTCAACGCGACCAGTGACCGCTAATTAGTCACACAATTGAGATCAATCTTTTCATTAAACGACCACTTTTACCTGTCAAGTAATTGTGTTTTTAGAGAACGCCACCTCGTAATGTCACAAGTGTCAACAATCAAAACACAACAAATAAACGTGTGAAAAACTCTATTTCCCAAACCGTATTAGCGTATGCAAATGAAGTTAAGTATACCCGTGACGTGTATTATCCAATAATATCGGATAAACAATGCACCGCTCCGCCCCTACTGAGATGGTGTATACGCTTCGCTTGTTGACATTTAGACTGCATTGAATTGACCTTGAACTTGATCAGCAATTAAATTAATCGTAACAATTAGATGTAGTTTGTTTATTTCAAATGGAAAAATGCACAACAGAAAACATCTTCACTAATACGGTTTTCGTGCTGGAGACAAGGAAAAACAACGGAGAAGTTAAAAAACTCTGGAAAAAATGTAAAACATATACGTAATTTATCAATAAATATCAGAAAGTTATTTTTTCAAATTGCATCCATTTAGATTATCGTAGCGTAATAATTATTCAACATTTATGTAAAAATGAAGTTGAAAAACATTCCCACTTCATGAGAAAGACGTCATTTATTAATTTTGACTTTTATATCATGCTGACTGTCTTAAGAGACCGTTTCATTAAGCGACCGTTTTGGGTGTTTCCCTTGCGCAGTCGTTTGATACACGTTTGACTGTATTAGTAACTTTTCTTTAAGCCATTATACTCTCAAACAATTCCTTTTCACTCTCAAGTAATTCCTTTTCACTCTCAAGCAATTCATTTTCACTCTCAAGCATTTTCTTTTCACTCTCAACAGTTCATTTTTACTCTCAAACAATTCTTATTCACTCTTAACACTTTCTTCCACTCTCAAGCAGTTCATTTTTACTCTCAAGCATTTCCTTTTCACTCTCAACAGTTCCTTTTTACTCTCAAACAATTCCTATTCACTCTTAACAGTTCCTTTTTACTCTCAAGTATTTCCTTTCACTCTCAAGCAATTCCTTTTAACTCTCAAGCAATTCCTTTTCACTCTTCACTCTCAACAATTCCTTTTCACTCACAATAATTCCTTTTCACTCTCAACCAATTCCTATAAGCGATGTTTTTTTAGCTACACTCATTCTCAACTTGCTTCCACTTAGCAAAGCAATGTTTTTACTTTCTAAATACTGATTTTCTTTACAGCATTTGCTTTTTATGCCCCTTCCCCCTACTCTAGAGGGAGCATTTAGATTTGCCCTTGTCTGCATTTGCATGTTATGCCACATTTAGCTCTAAAAGTGCTTGGCATAGAGTCAACAAACTTTACAGGAATGTTGATCAGCATGTGAAGTTGTGCACCTTGGGTTTGGCGTATGGATTAATTAAGTTTTGTCAGAGTGATTGCCCTTAATACTTAGTAAAAATTTGCAAATTTCAACTTGTGTCCCGCTTAGCTCAAAAAGTATTTGAACTAAAATTATGAAATTTTACAGAAATGTTGGTCAGCATGTATAGTTGTGCACCTTGGGGTTTGCTTGTACGCTTGTATATTAATCAAGGATCTGTAGAGTAATTTTTCCCTTGACTAAAATAGCAAAAACCATTCCAAAATGCTGTGTCATGTGTACCTCTAAAAGTGCTTGAGCCAGAATCAACTTTATCATGTTGATCAGCATGTGAAGCTGTGCACCTGGGGTTGTGCACGTTCATTAATTCAGTTTTGTAGAGTTATTGCCCATGACTTAGTAAAGAATTTGCAATATTTGACTTGGAGTCATGAAACTTTACAGACATATTGGTCAGCAATGTGCAGTTGTGCATCTGGGGTTGTTATATTGCTTGTTATTATTTTCTTTTAAGCATACTTTATGATATAAAATTAAGATTTGTAATTCTAAATTTTTGGGAAAAATCAAGATGTCAACATTGGAAAAATTGTCATTTTTATGCCCCAACAGGGGCAGGGGGAGTCCTGAAGAATTTCCTTTGTCCCTCTCTCATACTGTCCTGCTGTCAGTAGACTAAACAGTGGAGTGTGGGGTCATCTGTATTGTATATTGGTTTTTCATTCAAAGTAATGTACATTTTAATGTTTTTACCAAAATGATTTTTCAAGCTGACTATTTTTAACTTTTCTGTATGGATTATGGAAGTTGAAAGTATTTTTAGAATTTGGCAGTAAAGATGTATTATGGCAGTTTCCAAGGTGTTTTAAATAGTTTAAATATTAATCAAATATTGCTCTTTTAAATAATGGAAAAAAACAACAATTTTAATTGATTTATATTGTTGTTGGTCATTATACATGAAAAAAGAGTTACAACTGGTTACTGTGCTATTTCTTATCTAGATTTATAATTATACATTTTGCAAACAATGTTTCCCTCTGAAGTTTAGTTTCAAATAATTCTTCGAGCTTATTTTCTAGTTCAGTTTTAGCACTTATATGTTGCTTTTAAAATTTTGCTTCATGTATGTAAACTTCTTTTTTGAATATCATACAAGCTAAGAGTTTGATATTGTAAATTTTGCTACTTGACTTGGGTGGAAATAAACAAAATTTGACTAAGAATCGTACCAATAGGTTTTTCAGATAATACAGGATTGAAAAAGACTGCATAAGATATGTACAAACAATTCTTTTTAGAAAAGAATTACGGTTATTTTTACATACCAAATATCAATTTTGCAATGGTGATGGGCTCAATAATCTTTATTTTTTTGTGTTATGCAATTATGTTATTTTGATCTGTAGAAGGTTCAGGGTCGGACTGCGAGGATAGCTTGTGTGAGCGTTATGGCGGTACGTGCTACCTTGACATGGAGGGTATCTCCAGATGCTCCTGTAGCTTCAGTTGTGATGCTGTAAGGTAAGGTATAAAATGTACAAAAGAAACGTGTATGATGTTAAAGACGAAATCCATTCAATTAAAAACTTTATTGAGCAATCTCTGTATTATAAACTTCATATAAATTATGGAAAGTGAAGATCAAAACATGAAAGTTGTATGATTTATAGTCTCTAATTAATGTTAATTCTCTAGAAGTTTTAAAACAACACAATATAATTTGATTCTGCCAATTAAAGGGTTCATGAATTAGAAATACAATTGTGTGTAACTTAAGGATTAAAACAATTGCTAAATTTAGATCTCCAGTTTGCGGCTCTGATGGTGTGACTTATGGAAACAAATGTGAACTGGACAAGGCTGCCTGTAATGGACAAAAAAGAATTGTTGTGCAATCAATGGACAGCTGTGATGGTAAGAATATATTTTCAAATTCAATCAAAGTTTTTAAGCATGCTTTCCAAAAGAAAAATCAGTTGTAAACTTGGTGAATGGTGTTGGCTGGACGGGTGCAAACAATTTCCCCTGTCAGAAAACTTCATTCATACTATGTCGGAACTTTTATCACCAAGTGCTCTGGCCTTTTTTTCATAATTGAAACATTAGAAGATTAAATTAAGTTCTATGACTCTTCTTATAACATGAACTAATAAGGGTAGCAATTCAAAAATTATTCATTCAAGATATTTAATTCTATCTGCTTACCATTCATCTGTTGTTTTTTGTTGTTTTTTTTGTTTTTTGTTTGTTGTTTTTTTTTGGGGGGGGGGGGGGGTTATTAGAGGGATAGGTTCTTTTTAACTTACTTAGGGTTCTTTATAACTGACAGGGTAGTTGATGACACATTTGTGCTGGAAACAATCTTAAAGTAATTGCATAAGGGAGGACCTTAGGTCTTCCAACACACTTTACACTTGTAGAATATTGTGTTGCACAAAATCTGCAGGGCTCTAAAAAAACTGCTGTAAAAAAAACAAAGTATTCTTATCATTGTCATCATTTCATTACAAATGTATTTCAAATTTTTCAAACATGCGCGGTCTAGGTTTTAGATCATCTGGAAGTTGCATGTTACTGAAGTAATCAATATTCAGCTCTCATTATGCCATTGCAAAAGAGATTGCATTAAGTATGAAGCCATATTTGCCTGTTCTGCTTAAAAGCTTTTAGCAATTATCTTCACTAATGATAGGTTATCTGTGTAAATCTGACAATTTAATGTGTAAATCAAGGGAAATAATTGTAACAAGTGTTTAGACTCTAGAGTGTGGGAGGCGATTATGTTAGTATTGAATTTATAAGAGGTGAACAACAATTAATGTTCATGGAGAATTGTTTTTTTTCCCCCATTTTAAACATAAGAGCATTTACATGCATTCCATTCCCTTGGTCATTTGTTTGTTAGTTTTTTTATAATTTAAATGCAAAAAAACTGGTTTCCCATAAGTTTTTGGGAACAGAAACCAGTTTTTGTGAACAGTAATATACCTTTAGGAGGAGGAATTTCCACATTGTTTTCCCATGAAACGGGAACTTCGGGCAATTTTTGCTGCTCATATGTATTAAATTTATTTCTTTAAAATTTACTATGGGGAAATTGTGGCGAAAATAAATTTGTGAATTAAGTGTCCTGTAAAATCATCTTGGAAAAAAATATGTATATTGTACAAATTAGGCCATGTACAATAACGATTATCCTCTGTAAAAAGAGCAAACTTGAGTAAAAAATAATATTTGTTTCTAAACACTATTCATGGTACCTTTTTTTATGCAAATTCTAAGACTCTAGGATTCTATGAATTTTGTTGCTATAACGTAGAAGAAGTGAGTTACCAAGCTCCTCATATATTATGAATCATATAATTTAAGAGATAGATTAGTAAAGATGATGATAATATTCCATGAAAATAATAAGGCCCAATTTATTTATAGATATGGATGAAGTTTTATGTGATGGACTCAGCCCTGTGTTAAATTCAGCCACTGGTCTTCCATATGCGTGTACAGGCGGCCACGATTGCCCATCTGGGAGCTACTGCCATGTGCAATTCAGAAAGTGCTGTAATGAAGGTAGGTAACTCTAGCACAACCCAATTTACTACAAACTTCATGCAGTAGTTACCTCCCCTAGTTGTATGTAAATCTTGATTATCACGGGAAAAAATTAAGATAACTGCTTTCTTACATTTAACGAAAGATTCAATTCTTATTATATAAAATTCTGACATGTAATAAAAAAAGAAACAGTCAAACTTTAAAAATTATAGATCAAAAAGATGAAAACTGAAAAAATTCTGTAAAATAGGTTTAGTACTTCTAGGGGAGACTACTGCATAATGAAATTGCATTTTCCTGATAAATTGTCTCCCTTCCTTTTTCAACAGAATGTAATTGGCTTTATTCTCTTATTTTTCATTTATTGTCATTTTTTGTGTGTAGTTCAAACGTCTTTTTGTGTATTGAATCGTGTTACAAAATCATGTATGCCTGTATATGCTGTCTTTTTTGTGTCTGTGTAACATATTTGTGTGTCTTCATACTTGACAATAAATGTGTAATAATGTATGCTTTATGCTTTGTGTTATGCTGAATCAAATATATATATTACGATTATTTACCCATTATCTATGTGTGTCTCAATCTTTTAACATACCTTGCTTTCATCATCATGCCATGATTGAGGCTGCATTTTTTGCACATGTGCATTATTGAAAGAACCTTGATTTTTGGAATATGTATATATTGCATTTTGGTATGAACTTTTATGTCACAAATACATACATACCATAGTTGTTGTTTCACATATTTTATGTCATGTTTGAAACATTTTTATGTTATGGTTTTTTCTTTTCTATAGACTTTTTTGTCATGGCACATAATTTAAATGTCATCCATATAATGCCATGGTTTTTTGGTACATGTATTAGAAAATGATAAAACATATTTATGCCATGGTTGTTTTTTTGTGTTTGATTTTGATAAAACATTATAATGCCATGGTTTTATATTAAATGATAAATTACCAAGGTTTGATATTCTATGGAAAGACCATGGCTTGTGCTTTCTGATACTTCATAAATTCACAATCATGCCATGGTACAGAATGTTGCTTGAAAAATATAAAATACAAAAATGATAAAAAGATTAAAAATGAAGTTTTAGAGAAAAAAAAGGAAATAAGATACTTGAAAGCATCCCACAAAATTTTAGTGAAAGTATCACTTTTATAAACATTTAGCATGTTTTGTATGGAAATTATCTACCAATATCCTGTATATGCATTTCTGCAAAGGTGTTCACTTGCCCTACGTTTATGTAAAACAAACCTATGTTCGAGTCGGCCATGTTTGCTAAAATGCATGCGTTAATTCTTAATTCATTCTAACTTTCTTTCTTTTCTCTTTTTATTATATAATTATGATAATACTTTTAACATGAAATAAGCTGAAGGGTGAGGGATAGACTTCTAAAACTGCAATTTACTTTTACTTTCTTGACAGGAAAGATAGCCAGATAAAACTTCTTCCATTTTATTTATCATTAAGATTGATGTTCCTGTCTATAGAAAATATTAGGTTTGACAGTTATGTATTAGATAAATAATGGTTTCTACTTGATTGAGATATGGTTAGGGATTTGATATGTATGTTGTGCCTGTCCACATAATGTGTTAATGACTCCTGGCTTTTCTTGAAAGTTAAGAGGCTCTTTCAACTCAATATATGCAATTGTTTTTATTTGGTTGACTTTACTTAACACTAATGAGCACTCATGGTTGACTGTACCTTACCACTAATTGTTTACTGTACTTTATCACAAATGGTTGACTCTACTTTACCACTAATGGTTGACTGTACTTAAGCACTTATGCATGTAATGGTTGACTGTACTTTACCACTAATGGTTGACAGTACTTTAGCACTAGTGGTTGACTGTACCTTACCACTAATGGTTGGACTGTACTTTACCACTAATGGTTGACTGTACTTTACACACTAATCGTTAACTGTACTTTAAACACTAATGGTTGACTGTACTTTACCACTCATGGTTTACTGTACTTTATACACTAATGGTTAATAAACTGTACTTTACCACTAAGTAAAGTGTTGACTGTACATTACCACTTATGGTTAACTGTACTTTATACACTAATGGTTAATAAACTGTACTGTACCACTAAGTAAAGTGTTGACTGTACTTTACCACTCATGGTTAACTGTACTTTAAACACTAATGGTTGATAAACTGTACTTTACCACTTATAGTTGACAATAAATTGTCCATTAAATTTCATCAGAAATGTTATTTACTAAAATTGGATGTGCCATGCTTGATTTCTTTCTTTCTCTGACATTGGAAATTTCCTTCTTAACCTCATGTATCTGAACTGCAAACTGTCCCCCACCCCCTCTTTTGTATATTGTTTGCAAGTTGTCAGTGATGATATACCATTGTTATTTTACTGTTTCTTTCCCAGTAAATAAATAAACATTGTGTTTGTCAGTGTTTGGAAAACATAATACTTTTAAATATGTTTTGGTATATATACTGAAGTTTTATGTTTATTATTTTCACGATTAAAACAGTTTTAAGGATTGGGGCAAAAACAGTTAAGTTTTTAAAGGGAATTAAGTTCCAGAGGGTTGGCTGAATCCAAAATGGCACTGATATAACTGATTTAAAGAACAAAATACCAATTGTGAGATTAATTTCGTTATTTTGTAATGAAAAAAAAAATAGGTGAAAAGACTAAGGGTCTTTCAAACCTGAGAGACCACAAATAATGTTATTACCTCCCTTGAAATTCCAAATTCTAATATACTGTTATTACCTCCCTTGTAATTCCAAATTCTACAGTGTTTTTACCTCCCTTGAAATCCTGCAGTCATTCCATTATATTTGGTGACTTTATAACCTCCTTTGATATTATCTGATAATGTAATATTCTCCCTTGTCATTCAGTAATATATTTGTAAATTTGCAATCTCCTACGCAGTGATCTCCCCTTACAGGATTAGATCTCTGCCATCACAACATTTTCGTCAAGATTTTTGACGATATGAATTTTTTCAATTTTTATATTTATTTTAAAAAGTAAACACGGTTTTGCTAATGTTTCAAGACCGATAGGTGTTAGATGTGAACTAAAATAAAAAATAATTTTGGAAACATAAATATTGTGAAAATAACTTTTTAGAATTTTAATACCGCACCGTTTATTTCCAAAACAATGACCCCTCTCGAAAGAGAAATCATTCAAGTAATTATTAATTTTGACTCTACGCTTTACAAAAATCAATTTTTTTTAATCATATCAACATATTTGAAACCAGAGTTCAAGTTTTAATGTGGCTGTTTATTACAGATAAAACATTTTTTCAACGATTTCATTGGCGTATACGCCATTTTTACACAATCATGTGATAAGACCATCATCACGTGATTTGTGTGAAGGCAGTGGTTACTGGCCGTAGCGTAACCGGTGCGTGGAGATTTGTAAATTTGATGTTATTACCTCCCTTGACATTTAGTAATTGGTAATTTCTTTAGACGATTCATTATATTAAGAATTATAATAGAAAATATTATTTGTAAAACTAGGACTTTAAATACATTGGGCTATGATACATACATATTTTCTTTCATGTTGTTATACAATTTTAACAGTGATTATTATCAGTCATTTAGAAATTGCTAACATTCGGCTTATTCTAAAACATTCATATTTCTAACATTTGACTTATTACTGACTTTATTTTTTTATTTCAGATATGTGTTTGAATGTAAATATTTTGATAAGCATCTTGAATAAGCTTTAATTGTTTATGTATATTGTGGAACTTTTGAAAATTTACATTGATAATATGATGTAAATGCATTCTATTTTTAGCAGACTTGGTTTGAAATCCTCTAAACTTCAAACCCCACCTGTTTTCAGTGATCTCTATTAAACTTCAGGGAATAAAAAAATTAGCTTAAAAAAAGAAATGTGAATAAGAGTGGTCACGCCAAATGACTGGGTTGACTGTCTCTCAACCCGGGGATCATGGGTTCAAGCCCAACTTGGGCCACAACTTTGTTTCCTCATATGATGCCAGTTTTGGTTTGTCCCAGGAACTTGTTTTACAATCCATATTAAAGGGACTCCACTGTGGTTTAAAAGCGTAAAATCATAACATTTGAATTTCTTACATAAATGAGCTGGGGCACTTTAACCAGAAATATATGCAAAGATAGTTAAGAAATATACTTTGAAATAAATTGAAAATCGAAGAGCTCGAATAATCAGAAATTTTGCACAAAGATTAGTGGTCTAAACCTACATCAAATGGTGCATTTATCTGGAAAAAATATTTTCAGTCCCATAATATCAAAAAACCTCAGTGGAGTTCCTTTAAATAAATATGTTTAAAATTTATGTGATTGAATTAATTGTTTAATCATCAATATTTTTTAAAATGCTTTTTTTTGTTTTTCTTAATAAGGAATGACAGAAAACAAATCTCATTAATTTTTGGATTCAAGATTATTTTGTTCCTTTTAATATGTTTCCTTCTATTGAAGAATGACCTTAAATTGTAATAATTATTTGGTCAACGAAAAACTTCTCTCATTTTGAAAATTAACCTTACTACAGCCCTTTAGCTTTCTCTTTTTGGTTTTGATAATTTTTTTTATTACATCATTCTGTAGTCAACTATTTCACCAAGATCGAGAATTACATACCCTATTAAGATGCTCAATAAACTTGCTGTAGTACTTTACTTTTGCTTTATTTGGTTTAGATTAAAGAGTAAATGAATGGCCTAACGTTAAACATAGGATAAAAGAGCTTTTGGTTTAGAGAGTTTTTTTGGTACTGAATGATAAAAAATAGACTCTCTTGAGTCTTGACTTAATTTTAGAGATTATTTAGTTTAGAGGGTTTCGTAAGTATATAATGAGTATAATGTACACATTTGACCATGCTATGACATCTTGTTTGAGTCTTGTATCAGAACCTGTGGTGCTATTTTGTTGCATGCCGTGATACAAACTTATTTTGTTATTAGAACGGTTATCCGACATCTATATCGAGGACTGCTCGGAGAGTGTTTACGGATGCTGTGACGATCATGTGACTTTTGCTCCGGGACCAGATAAAAGTGGTTGCCCAGGTAATACATGGATGTTCTTTTTATATATATTGTGAATAATTATATTTCTTTCTTAATTACATATTAATCTTCATCAAAATCATAAGAAGTAATAAAGGCAATAATGTTCTATAGATTTATTACATATAATTTAATGTTAACAAATATTGATTGGTATGATGAAGGATTTACAAATTTTTAGCTCACCTGAGCTTGCTCAGGGTGAGCTTTTAGGATCGATGAATGTCCGTCGTCCGTCGTCCGTCCGGCCGTCCACAATTGCTTGTGAACACTCTAGCGGTCGCATTTTTGCCTCAATCATCATCAAACTTGGTCAGGATGCTTATCTAGTTGAAAGCTCGGATGAGTTCGAACATGGGTCATCTCAGATGAAAAACTAGGTCACAAGAGCTAAAAATAGAAAAACCTTGTGAACACTCTAGAGGTCACATTTTTGACCCAATCTTCATCAAACTTGGTCAGGATGTTTGTCTAGGTGATAGCAGTCATACATGTGACATCCCGGCGGGATTTAAAAAAATCCCGATATTTCAACACTGATCCCGATTCCCGATATTACAGCTTGAATTCCCGATATTTAAAAAAAAAATCAACATAAAAAAATCAAACACAGCACCTGTATCTAAAATGTAAATTGTGCCTCCGGGCATTGATTGTTATCTGTCCATATCCTCAATTATAGCGGATTAAATTTTGAGTCGCTAATTGACAGCAAGGTGACGTATTAAACAGTTCCAATACCAAAAGTTATTCTCACATGTTTAACTTATCACGTGTCGTGTGTCAGTCAATTGACCTCTTTTGTAATTTGGCAGTAGGTATTACACGCTACTACGTCATCAAAACTACCCTGTAAATTTACATGTATGAATTCGGCTCAACCTTTGATTTTCTTTGATTAGTGCCGCACTGATAAAGATAAAAGGGGAGCAGAATCATTTAAAGTGGATCATTCAAAACCTGTTTGAGATGTCTAATTAAACTATTTTTAGTGAGTGGGTAATTTTTTGTTTTGTTTAGGAATTACGCAATCATCGAGGCAAAAATGTGGATTTAATAACAGAACGATTCTTGCATTTATTTTGAGTCTTTTACTTATGTTTCGTTATTTAACTGTCATAGTCTTATGTTTATGAATAGTTGTTGCACGTATTCAAATAGCTTGTGTTTAATTATTGAATGACTGAAAAGACATTATAATTCTTCAAACTGAAAATAATGAAATGTGAAAGTGTGACTGTTTAAGAAATAGCCAGTATGACTACACTTATTTATTTATCTATTTATTTATTTTTTTGGTGAAATAAATTAATATTGATCAACAAAAAAATCATAAAAAGTATTATCATTTAATGATTTTGAGGGTAATATAGATTCTTTGAACCAAATGTGCCAAACACGCACTGAAATTCAAGTCGATAAAAAAATCCAGTTTTGAGCCTCAAAATCCAGCTGAAAATCCAGATTTGGCCCATTTCATTTGTCACATGTATGATAGCTCGGATGAGTTCGAACATGGGTCATCTCGGATGAAAAAGTAGGTCACAGGAGCTATAAATAGAAAAACCTTGTGAACACTCTAGTGGTCACATTTTTGAACCAATCATCATCAAACTTGGTCAGAATGCTTGTCTAGTCAATTGCTTGGATGAGTTCGAACATGGGTCATCTCTGATGAAAAACTAGGTCACAGGAGCTAAAAATAGAAAAACCTTGTGACCACTCTAGTGGTCACATTTTTGACCCAATCATCATCAAACTTTGTCAGGATGCTTGTTTAGATAATAGCTCAGATGAGTTCGAATATGGGTCATCTGGGATGAAAAACTAGGTCACCGGAGCTATAAATAGAAAAACCTTGTTAACACTCTAGCGGTCACATTTTTGCATCAATCATCATCAAACTTGGTCAGGATGCTTATCTAGTTGATAGCTTGGATGAGTTCGAACATGGGTCATCTCGGATGAAAAAGTAGGTCACCGGAGCTAAAAATAGAAAAACCTTGTTAACACTTTAGCGGTCACATTTTTGCATCAATCATCATCAAACTTGATCAAGATGCTTGTCTAGGTAATAACTCGGATGAGTTCGAACATGGGTCATCTCGGATGAAAAACTAGGTCACAGGAGCTAAAAATAGAAAAACCTTGTTAACACTCTAGTGGTCACAATTTTGACTCAATTGTCATCAAACTTGGTCAGGAAACTTGTCTAGGTCATTGCTGGGAATAAATCGAACATGGGACATCTCGGATGAAAAACTAGGTCACAGGAGCTAAAAATAGAAAAATCTTGTTAACACTCTAGTGGCTACTGTTGTGATCCAAATATTCTGTTAATTGGTCTGAAAGTTTGTTTTGATGATTTCTAAGTCAAGATCGAACATGGGTCATCTTGGATGAAAAACTAGGTCACACCGCCCAAATATGGAAAAACCTTGTTAACATTCTAGTGGTCACATTTTCGACTCCATTATCATCAAACTTGGTCAGAATGCTTGTCTAGGTAATTGCTTGGATGAGTTCGAAATCGCATGTGAAACTAGGTCACCGGAGCTAAAAATAGAAAAATCTTGTTAACACTCTAGTTGCTACTGTTTTGATCCAAGTATCCTGGAAATTGGTCTGAAAGTTTGTTTTGATGATTTCTGGGTCAAGTTTGAATATGTGTCACCTGGGTAAAAAACTATGTCGCACTGCTCAAATATGGATAATCCTTGTTAACACTGTAGTGGTCACATTTTTGACTCACCTGTCATGAGACTTGGTCAGAATGCTTGTCTAGGTAATTGTTTGGATGAGTTTGATAATTCAGGTGAGCGATCTAGGGCCATCACGGCCCTCTTGTTTTAAAAAAGCACTGATATTGTGATATAAAGTTTTATAAATATTATTTACTTGCAACAGCAAGATTAATGATGATGGCCAAAACTTAAGCTTTAAAAAAAAAAAAAAAAAAAAAAAAAAAAATTGTGAGAATTCCCTAGACTTTCTATTAAACCCAGAATTTATATAATGAATTCTCCCTGCTTTGAATACTAAGGGATTTGAGCTTGAACAGGAATAAGAAAATAACCAACAGTCTTAAGCCTGGACAGACTACATGAAATTGTGCAGGCTAGCCTGGCTGTAACCTGTATATTGAGCCGCGTCATGACAAAACCAACATAATGGTTTTGCGACCAGCATGGATCCAGACCAGCCTACGCATCCGCGCAGTCTGATCAGGATCCATGCTGTTCGCTTACAATCCCTATAACAAGTAGAGAAAGTGATAGCGAACAGCATGGATCCTCAGATCAGACTGCGCAGATGCGCAGGCTGGTCTGGATACATGCTGGTCGCAAACCCATTATGTTGGTTTTGTCATGACACGGCTCATATAAGAATAGTGGCAAAGACTTTGAAATCACTTTCATTTTAAAACATTAAAAACATCAGTCAAAATATCTAGATATATGATTGAATGTAGATGGTTTGAAAGCAGCACGCCTCCAGATTCATGCTAATTTTCATGAAGATTTTGAAAATGTATTTGAATGTGTAATATTGTTAAGTAACCAAAAGGAAGCAATTTACACATTATCAATGGCACGTAAATTACCAAAAAGTTGTAAAATATGCATAATTTTAGCATTTTCTTGCGTTAGGCAGTAGAAATATAGTTGTAAATACTAAAAAATCAGTCATTAATCGCACCTAATATGTAAAATATTACTTGAATCTTAAAACTTTTTACTTTTACTTACATCTTAGTACATTTTTTTCAAGTTTGATTTTATTAAAACATTTTGACTCATCTGGAGGCATGCAGCTTCAATTCTATCATTTAGTTGATATCAACATTTTTGTTATAATTTTAAAAACTGAAATATACAAAACAAAAACAGAAAATTAATAGTGAAAACAGTTAATGACATAATTATATTAAAGCTTACATATAACAAAATTCCTTTAGGATATGATCAAGTCAGTAAGTTTGACTTCATTAAAATTCACTTTTAATTGAAAAATTAAAAATTAACTCAAATGATTTTTATTTGACAAATTAAAACTTAACTCAAACTCGAAACTAACCCTTAATGAATTTAACTCTTTAATAATTCTATGATTATTTCAGCAGTTGTTTTAGCAGAGTGTAGTAAATGATATATTTTAACATTATCTTGTTTCAATAGAGAATATATTTAGAATCCCCAAAGAAAGTCTAAAATGACAAAATTGAAAAAGTTGCAGGCTCAGTTTCATTGACCCTGTTCATGGGCGGTATATACCGTCAAGTGCAAACTACCATCCATGCCCCTTAGCACTGGCTTAAGCAAAATTCAGCATTTAAACACAAAAATGGCAAAATTTTTAATGAAGAAAATTCCGCAAATGTGTTCATATGGCTTTTGTCATGGAACCTTCAATGTGACACTTTTGTGCCATTCCATGAAAAGAGGCGTATTGTCCCCAAGTCAAAAAAAGTGTGTGCTCTAAACGAGAAAACAATGGGTGAATCCTGCCAAAGCTGCTGATATCTGTCATCTGAAAAACCTGTCCAATCAGATTGCGGAATTTCTTAAATGGACTTGTACATTATGTCAATTAAGGGATATCAAGAAGAAAATTTAAAGTGTGCCAGCAAATTTCATTATAATGATTGTTAAGGATATTAAATTTTAGTTCCAGTCCGGAAAGGTTTGAGTGCCATCATGAATCCGTACTCTGTGGTAATGCACTAAGGCCACCTGAAGTATTCATCCACTGCACTGGCGTAACTTGCTAAATAGGAGGACGTCATAATGGCCAAAAGAGAATTATGTTTTAAACCTAATCAAAAATATCCCCATGAAACTGGAACTTCAAGACCAGAAATTACTGATTCTACATTGAAGGCAATGAGTAATTTTGCTCCCCTCACCAAATTACAACAGTTAATCTTTCATATACTTTTGACAAGTATGATGAATATCACCAATATCAGAAGTGATTATCAAGTTGTACAATATATTGTCTATAAGGTTTTTTTTGTTATCTCTACGAGTGTATATTGATCCAGCCATTGGCCTGTATTTATCATTGTATCATTGTAAAAACTAAGGCAAAATGAAATATGTCAGTACTCTTCAGTGCCTGAAAGTGCAGATGGACCCTTATTAAACTTAGGACGGACCACCTTATTAGATTAAATAGAACACACACACCTTTGGGTAATTGAAATTTATGGACAACAAATTAAACAACACAGTTAACAATTTATTAATCCAACATCAATGAACAATTTACACAGCTTGTTTAAGAGAAAATAGAGAAATTTGAGTACTTATTTGTCCTATGTGCCAAATATACCATGAAACCTTCAGTGCTGAAGTTTGATATCAATACTATTGTCTGCCCGCTAAGTAATCCAGGGGTCACTGGTTTGATCCTTGGGCGGGCAAGGCAAAATATGAGCCGCGTCACGGCAAAACCAACATAATGGGTTTGCGACCAGCATGGATCCAGACCAGCCTGCGCATCAGTCTGATCAGGATCCATGCTGTTCACTTACAAACCCTATTACAAGTAGGGAAACTGACAGCTAACAGCATGGATCCTGATCAGACTGCGCGGATACGCAGACTGGTCTGGATCCATGCTGGTTGCAAACCCATTATGTTGGTTTTGCCGTGACGCAGCTCATATATATGTGAAAATTTATCTAAGAGATCAAGTCCAAATGGTCATTTGTCTCTTATTACCGATTCAGAAACTATTTGAGATTAGTAGTTGGTGACACTTGGGGAGAAATTGGTAGTTTAATACTGGCTTGTTATCCAGTGAAGCCGGATAAATTGGCCAACCACCGAGATGTGAATGTGACCAAAAATGTTTTGAAACTGACACATAAAAACCAGACAAGTGTGATTTTTACCTTATTTTATTAATCAGTTCATCAGCTTTTAGTAAATGTAGAGTAAAATAAAAATGTTCATACAAATTTATATTAAAAACCTTTTACAATTTGTAATAATGATGGTCAGGAGCTCTTAAAAGTTTTATTTCTCACAATAATATGCTACAAGTCCACAGCAGAAGTTAGCAAAAATTGCTTCTTTTACTATATATTTGCCTTTAATTTTGAATAATAACCATATGCCGATATTTAATTAAAATTATGTGATATAATAAGAGTTCTTTATTAACAAAAAGAATTGTATCATTAAAAAATTAAGGTCTCAATTTTCATATGAAAACAATATTGCTATTTTTGTCATGACTTTTGTTTTATTTACAAATTATTCGGAAGACCTTTTTACATGATAAATTTCATTATTTCGTTTCATGACATATCCGATGAATATAACAAGCTGAATAACACTGTGCAGTTGGTAACCTGCATGCCATACAATAGTAACACTGTTGTTGCACCCTTTACCCCACCCATCTCCCAGTAGCTGTGTTTGATTTTAGTGTTGTTTTTTACTGGTGTTTTAGTTTTTATGTTGTGCATGCCTCAGTTGCATCGTCTCATATAGATATGAGCTTGAATGATATGTGGTACAAAACTGAATGAATGGAATGCCTTTGTTTATAATATGTTTATTTTGCTGCATGTAAAATAGTTGTTGTTTTTTTTTCAATATTTGTTTGTTTGGTTATTTTTTCTTAACTTTTGAAGGTCAAACAACATATTTCTGTAATATTAACCATAAATGTACATCCTGTTACTTGTGATGAATTTACCTTTTGAAGGTCAAACAATTAAATTAAATGTGTTATGATTATATTGTCAATATATATAGTATAGTTTACGCTAAAAGCCAATGCTGTTGTTTTTTTGACAATATTGGTGCATATAATGCAAGAGATTAGTGTTTGTAACAAATTTTAAAAAAAAGAAAACATAAGGCTTAACACAAAGCCTTTAAAGAATCAGAACTAATCTGAAAAGCATGTTGATATCATGTTAATTAAGCACGATATGTCAAAATTGAAGAAACAGCGTAAGAACCATTATTCTGAACATATGGTGACAAATTGCTTTTTTGGAGTTTCAGTATTTTTAAGGATATGATCTTAATACAGTTAGTCTTTGTATAGAACTGTTCACTAATTAGGGGAGAAAATGTGTAAGTGGTTCGTTAGCTTACTGGATAGAGCTGCTGAACGGAATTCAAGGGTTGCAGGTTCAAGTCTCGGGCAGGCCGCTCATTTTTCTTCACCATGTGCCATTTGGTACACATTCTGGAGCTATGATGTATATATATAAGCCCCAGAGTCAATTAACAATTTTCTCTGACCTGTATGGATTTTGAGGAGATTCAATATAGTGGGGGGGAATATGTCACAGTATAGAACTTAAATCATGATAAGAAAAAGGTAAAAACAGCCAGGTAGCTCAGTTGTAAGAGCCCTGGAATAATATTCCAATGGTTCCAACTGTTCAAATACCAGTTAGGCTGCATTTTTTCTTTTTTTGCTCTGTGACATATCTCTTGAAAATATTTTTTTTTATAGAAAATATTCTGAATAACGACAAGAGAATAAATGTTCTAAATATAGATCTTTTTTAAGTTATAGAACCCTACAGCCTTATAGATATTTTTATCTGATCTGACTGTCATTTCATACAAGTTTGATGTATTGACTTTGTGACTTTGAAACAATTGGTAAATTTATATCACTTTGATTTTAGAAAAACATTTATTAAATATTTATAGTCATCTTTTACCTTTTAACATTTTTTTCATTCCTTTTCTTCTTATTAGATCAATGCCAGTGTAACCCGATGGGATCTTTAAGTACGACATGTCACCCGGTGAATAAGAATTGTACCTGTAAGCCAAATGTAGGAGGTCCAAAATGTGATAGGTGTGAGCCCGGCTATTGGGGCCTGGCCCTGATCCATGAAGACGGCAAATCAGGTTGCATGGGTAGGTAATTTTACTTGGCATGTTTTGCCCTATAAAATTTAAGATACAATTATAAATATGAATATAATATAAACCCTTTAAACCTGCTGTATAGAGGCAGGCTGGCTGCGAGGCATGTCTGACCAGATTCTTAATTATATTTACTGTCAAGAGCTCAAGTATTTTGTACTAAATTTTCAATATTGAAATCCCTTAAACTTTGAACAGATTGAATGCTGGCTGAGAGTGGCGGCATGGCCACATTGTTAATGTGTTGGACTAGTAGTCTAAGGATTGCCAAGTTCAAATCCCATCAGGGGCTAGCCTGATTGTTTCTGTGAGCAAGAAACATCACTCCTTGTTTGGTACTGGTTCTGGTTCGAGGTACAGATTCCAGAGTGTTTCAATAAGCTTATAGCTTCCAACACATTGAACGGAATAAATTTGTATAAACTAGAAACAAATTCTTTGCACAAGTTAAGCAGGTTTGAATGAGTAGAATGACTGCATTCACTCAGCCATAAGACGGACTCCCCTATAAGACTATGTCTAAATGCTAAACTGTAAAGTACATTATCTTTCTCTTCTCTTAAGCATTGTGACGTATACATATTTGGTATATTGAAATGCACCATTTTGAGAATAAAAATACAGTAGGGATTAGATTAGTTTCAATAAAGTTAAGAAATTTCGGCCAAATTTTAAACACTGTTATAATGTAATTCTTATTCTCATCATTCTAAAAAATGTTTGAAATGGCCATTCAAAACAATTGATGTCTTAAGTGTTTGTTTTTTTTAATTTCTTGAAACCCTATGATAATGACTTGCAAAACATATTTTAAAACCCAATTATTATGAGGATAAATTGGAACAATGTATATTTTATTTTTCTTTTCCTGCAGAATGTCTTTGTGATCCCATTGGAGCGAGTAGGAAGGACTGTCAACAAAATACTGGCCGATGTCTTTGTAAAAGTGGGTATGATGGTCATAAGTGTGGAAGATGTATAAGCACTGGAAGGCCAGCTGGCTCAATGGGTTGTGAGGGAGGTGAGTATAATATTTCCTTTGGCTTGATTCTTTATTCTTTGGGATAATTAATGAAACATGCCTATTTGTGAAGAAATAGAGAAAAACGAACAAGTAGAGAAAAATGGATTCCCAAAATGACATCTAAAGCAACAAAAGTAAAAATGTTGAAGGCTTGGTTTGACTTAGTTGAACATTTAAACACGAAATGGTAAATTTTTTTATTTAGAAACATTTGCAGATTAATGTCAGGATCGATAAACATGTCTGCATTGAATCATATTCAGACTGGTTTGGGAGGCTTCTTGTGTTAACTTTTCTACATTTGTTTCATAAATACTCAAATATAATTGAACTTATGGATGTAAGGTCTTGATGATATCAAATTTTGATTAAGCATTTTTTTGGCTCAAAGCTTTCAGGCCTCCGAATCAATAGGACAGGGAGGCAATATTGTTATCCTTTTCAGTTCATTTGTTTGTCCGTCTGTTTGTCACAAAACTTTAATCTTGACAATTACACAGACTACATCTATCATAGTTCAGAGGAACATAATGCACCTCTTAATGTGCTGAACCCAGTAGATCCACATAGAAATTCTTAATGAGAAAATAATTATGTTGTCTATTGTTTATGATGAAAAAGTTATATATCACTGTTTCTCAAGATGGCCTTAACTAGCTGGAATAGAGAGTGATTTATCTTTGTCACCAATATTGAGCCAGACCTGAAGTTGTATACTGATGGCTGAGTCACTTTTACTTTTCATAGTGATATCCCCAATATTGATGAAAAACAGTGTCAGAAATGGAAGAAGGACGAGTCAATTTAAGAAATGTTTGCATATTCTAAGACATTCCTTTAGGAGTGATAATTTTGACTGATACGATTTTTTTTTAAAATCCAACATAATCTTGTGGTGAAACTCAGATAACTTGAATACACTGAAACATTTATAAGTAAGTGTCTACATTTTTGTAGCCCGTGTGCCGGAGTTTTATGACGGTGGTAAGAGTGTTTTGATGTGTTTATATTTTTTTGTTTTTACTTGTACAAAGTTTTTACCTTATTTATTTTATATCATCTATATTATATGATATGTTAATATCTTTATTATATATTATGAGATATCCTATCCACCCCTGTATAAAATGTGTTCCATTATCTTAAACAAAACAAATGTACTCTTTACCTGTTTCATATGTTAGTGGTTAGTCTTGGAAATTGCCATAAATAATATTGAGCCAGGCCAGCCTGCACTTCTGTATTTTGTTATTGAAATCCTTGAACTTTGATAGGACTGTTCCAGATTTGAAGCAAGGCAAATCAAATATAGTAATAATTCCTTCCACCGTGCTGGAAAAGAGCCAGAGCTAAGCCAGCCTGTATATCCTTGCAGTCTAACCAAGCCTCTATACTCTTGGCAGACCAACTTTAGTTTTTTTTTTTATCTTGCTATCCCCCCAAAAAAGATAAAGGATAGTTCCAGTTTTTCCTAGTTTTAATTACCTTTAGCCTGCTGTGGGCAACAGATTCTGACCATGCAAGCAATGCAAACCAAAGCTCATCCGGCACATCTGCACCATTTGATCATAGTCTTTACTGTTGACTAATTATACCCCCGCACAACAAAGTTGTAAGGGGGATATACTGGAATCAGCTTGTCCGTCCGTCCGGCTGTCTGTTGGTTTTTTCTTGTCCGCCCAATAACTTAAGATTCCTTTGACCCTTAGTCTTCATATTTGGCATGGAGGTTAGTCATGATTAGTAGATGACCCCTATTGATTTTGAGGTCACTAGGTCAAAGGTCAAGGTCACAGGGGCCTTGACTTCAAAAAGCTTGTCCATCCATTAACTTAAGATTCCTTTGACCCACAGTCTTCATATTTAGCATGGAGGTAAGTCATGATTAGTAGATGACCCCTATTGATTTTGAGGTCACCAGGTCAAAGGTCAAGGTCACAGGGGCCTTGAATTCAAAAAGCTTGTCTGCCCAATAACTTAAGATTCCTTTGACCCACAGTCTTCATATTTGGCATGGAGGCTAGTCATGATTAGTAGATGACCCCTATTGACTTTGAGGTCACCAGGTCAAAGGTCAAGGTCACAGGGGCCTTGACTTCAAAAAAGCTTGTCCGCCCAATAACCTAAGATTCCTTTGACCCACAGTCTTCATATTTGGCATGGAGGTTAGTCATGATTAGTAGATGACCCCTATTGACTTTGAGGTCATCAGGTCAAAGGTCAAGGTCACAGGGGCCTTGACTTCAAAAAGCTTGTCCGCCCTATAACTTAAGATTCCTTTGACCCACAGTCTTCATATTTGGCATGGAGGTTAGTCATGATTAGTAGATGACCCCTATTGATTTTGAGGTCACCAGGTCAAAGGTCAAGGTCACAGGGGCCTTGACTTCAAAAAGCTTGTCTGCCCAATAACTTAAGATTCCTTTGACCCACAGTCTTCATATTTGGAATGGAGGTTAGTCATGATTAGTAGATGACCCCTATTGATTTTGAGGTCACCAGGTCAAAGGTCAAGGTCACAGAGACTTTGACTTCAAAAAGTTTGTCTGCCCAATAACTTTAGATTCCTTTGACCCACAGTCTTCATATTTGGCATGGATGTTGATCATGATTAGTAGATGACCCCTTTTGATTTTGAGGTCACTGGGTCAAAGGTCAAGGTCATAGGGACTTTGACTTCAAAAAGTTTGTCCACCCATTAACTTAAGATTCCTTTGACCCACAGTCTTCATATTTGGCATGGATGTTGATCATGACTATAAGGTGACCCCTATTGATTTTGAGGTCACTGGGTCAAAGGTCAAGGTCACAGGGACCTTGACAAAAAAAAGCTTTTCTTCTCAATTGCTAAAGAATGTCCTGTCCGCAATGTATTGATTTTGACATTTTCACATTTGAAGCATGTAGAATACATAACTTAGCAATGCACTGGCTTAGTAACCTCAGATTTGGCAGGGAGGTTGTCCTTGAGCTCTAAATGGCCACTGTTGATTCTGACAAAGTGGTATGCGGGGGTATTCGCCATGATAGTGGCAGTTCTAGTTCAGTCAGTACCAATACACATAATTTTAAAATTTACCCGAAAAAAATGAATGGTTTTGTCCAGATTGAAAGTTGGACAAGTCCATTTTAAGATATTTTAAGGGGGGTTTAAAGGCAAATACTGACTGCAGCTCATTTGTTAGTGTATGTATGTGTGTTTGTTTGTCGTTGTTTTTTTTTTTTGTCACATCCAAACTTATATTGGCACCAAGTAACAATGAGAATATAAACTTTGTTTGTTCTTAGTTGTTGTTTGTAAATAATATAGCATTTCTCCTTGCTGTAGACTCTATTCAAATCAAGTTTAGTTGAGTGCCCTGAGTGCATTAGATTTTCCCAAACTGCGCCTGAAATTCTTCCTCTTTATTTAGAAATTAGTGTTAGTGCGGTAGTGCATTTTCTGTGATAGATACCATTGGCTTAATTGTTCAAATTATAGTAATTATAGTTATTTTAGGACAGAAATATTAATAATTGACATAATCAGTCAATTTATAGCAATCCTACTGATTTAAAGACAGAAATGATTGACTAAATCTGTCAAAATTGAGCTAAATCTGAAATGATTTTATAATAGAAATTATTGACTTCAGTCAAACTATATTTAGTCTAGTACTGATTTTATGACAGAAATTATTGACTTAATCAATAGTTATCAGACAGATTTTAAAGGGATTCTACTTAGGTTTTATGACATGACGGGACCGAAAATAATATTTCAAATTTTATATTCCATTTGATGTCCGTCTAGACCAATAATATGTATGCAAAATTTCAGATCATTTTCTCCCTTTTTTCCAGAATGATTATTCTAATTGTTGAAAATTGACCCTAAATTGAAATTCGCTCAATTGAGGAATAATATGATTTTCATTTCTTAATTATCTTTTGGATATCTCTCTGCAGCTGATCTTTGTAAGAAATTCAAATTATATGTTTATAGGTTTTTGTACCTCAGTGAAGCTCCTTTAAGACAGAAATAATTGACTTTTTAAAGTTAAAATATAGCAAACTGACTGATTTTTAATACAGAAATAACTGACTTTTACAGTCAAACTCCAGCAATCTGTCTGATTTGTTGACAGAAATTATTGTTTTATTCAGTCAAAACTAACTCAGTTCAATACAGAAATTATTGACTTAGTAAATGAGACTATAGCAATCTGACTGGTATATAATAATACTCAATGTCTTGTATGAGCCAGTTGATATATTCAGTTTTGTGTGTGCCACCAGCTGTACTTTCTTTTTGAAGCTTACTCATTTATTTATAAGCTATTTCATTTTATTTATCCTTTTTTTTTGGTTCAATAAAATACCAGTTGTAACTCTTTTTATAAATCTTTAAGGAGTCAGAAATATTATTTAAATATCAAATCTGAGAAAGGCATTGATTTAAAACAGTGTCTACTAATTCTAAAGATTTTTATTACCAGTTAGTACATTGTATTTGTAAAGAAACTTAATTTCTGAAGAAGATAGTTTTGTTTGTAATGTTTAAAATAAAGTAGATTTTAAGTGTAAATTATAATTTTCTCTCTTTTGTTAACCAGGTGAGTATTAAAACAAAATACTATTAGGAGCCTCTCATGGGGCTTAGTGGTTAAAGTTACTGTGCTTATTTCAAATCAATGGCCCATAAACAAAGCCCAGCTACACAGAAACACAGAAAAGGCATTTAGTAGGGCATCGAACCTGGGATAAATTTGTGTAAGGCATACAAGGAATAGAATTGGAATAGCAGTAGTAGTAATGTAAAGACAATGTTACTGTTGTATGACTAGGGCAAGAAACAACTAGATTATAAAAGTGCTTTATGTTACAATTTAGGACCAAGTTAAATTGAGACAAAGATTTTATGATAAGTCAACCTTAACCTGCTAGAACTGAAATTGATTAAATAGGGAAAAAAAACGGAATCCCTAAAGATCAAAGCCCAACACGGCAAAATTGAAAACATTGCAGGCTCGTTTTGATTGAGTCTGTTTGATGAGCCTTTGCCACCATTGAAGAGTTAGGCTAGCCTGCATATTTAGATCATGCTTTCGCTTTATACTGTTAAATGTTGATATTGAAACCCCTAAAACAATTAATTAATTTACTGTTCCAAATCTCTAAAACAAATTCCGTATATTAAGGGGAAGGGGAAAGTAGGCTTTGATCTCTATAGTTCTGTCATTTCCAATTCAAGACAGGCGAAGAAATTTCACAAGATAGGTTTTGTTATCTGAAGGTAAAAGTAGACAAGATATTGCAGTTGTGTTTTTTTTTAACAGTTTGTGACAGATAAGGTACATAATGTAGATATTCTGATTTACGGTATGATAAAGGGTAAATTTATTCTTTAGCAATTCATGATAAAGTTACTTAGAATGGAAAGTCTAATTTTACAATAAAGGACATGAGGAGTTAGGCTTCAATGGTCTTAAGTAGTGTTTTGTTTTACAATTAGGACATGAGGATTAAGGCTTCAATAGTCTTTAGTTGTGTAGGATAGGAGGATTTATATTTCAATGGTCTTTAGTAGTGTTACAAATAGGACATGAAGATTTAGGCAGTAGTGTATTCTTTTACAACAGGACATGAAGATTTAGGCAGTAGTGTTTTATTTTACAAATAGGACATGAAGATTTAGGCAGTAGTGTTTTCTTTACAAATAGGGCATGAAGATTTAGGCAGTAGTGTTTTCTTTTACAATTAGGACATGAAGATTTAGGCTTCAATGGTCTTCAGTAGTGTTTTCTTTTACAATTAGGACATGAAGATTTAGGCTTCAATGGTCTTCAGTAGTGTTTTCTTTTACAATTAGGACATGAAGATTTAGGCTTCAATGGTCTTTAGTAGTGTTTTCTTTTACAATTAGGACATGAAGATTTAGATTTAGGCAGTAGTGTTTTCTTTTACAATTAGGACATGAAGATTTAGGTTTCAATGGTCTTCAATAGTGTTTTTCTTTTACAAATAGGACATGAAGATTTAGGTTTCAATGGTCTTCAATAGTGTTTTTCTTTTACAATTAGGAAATGAGGATTTAGGCGTCAATGGTCTTCAGTGAGTGTCTTTTTTTTCTACAATTCAGGACAAACAAAGTCATGTGGGGATCTCATATGTTACTATGGTGCCACTTGTTCTGACCAATACAAAATCCCACAATGCTTCTGTGACTTTCACTGCCCGGAGTATGATTTCCCGACCACTGGTTATATGTGTGCTACTAATGGCCTGACCTACTTAAGTGAATGTAGCCTGAAGAAAGAGGCCTGTAAAAGACAGCAGGACATCAAAATTGCTTACAATGGCCCATGTAGAGGTACTGCTATTATAACAAAGGTCTGGAGGAAAATTGTTGTATTGCTTTTTTTTGGGAGGGGGGGGGGGGGGCTGGGTGGGGTTTGGTGGCAAATACGACAGTTTTCCATTTTATATTTGTGTTCAATGTTGTTCAGATAAAATTATGGCCTAAATGTTATGCAAAATTGCTGTTATGAGTTGTAGACTTGGAAAGGTTTCTAGAGGCAATATTCACAAGCTAGAAATAGATAAATTCTAAGAACTTTTAATGTCATGATGTACCAGTGAAGGGATTTTCACTTATTTTATGTACATAGTACGCATCTTATCATTACCTGCAAATATTGATTTTGATGAAGATTTGCTTGGACCTCCTAAGTTACTCCCCTTGTGGCTGAGGTGTTTTCTTCATTGATTTAAGCATCAGAATTGCAGTCACTCTTTTATCCCTGTTTGATTATTAGAGGCGACTAAAAGGGTCTACATATCTAGTCTATGCATCTCTTAGCAACAGCAGATGGATGGTTTTGATCCCTGGTGTTGCTTTGAAGGTTGTAACACCAGAGTTTCCTGTATTTGCACCATATGACCTAAACTGTGTTGTTGCACCATAAAGCCAAACATACCTACAAGCTACACAGGGATTGAAGACCATTTAGTGAACTTTTCTTGGCATCTTAACCAAACTTGGTCCAATATGGTGTGTTTTCAAAGTTGCTTAATCAAACAAACATGGATAACTTTTCCATCTGTTCTGATAAATGACCCTGTGCAGTATAATGGCCGGCTGATATTGCAGTGTCATTGACTCTTTAGCCATTAGATATGATGTGATATTTCCTATCTTATTTTTTCATACTTTTATGGGGGCAATATCAAATTATATCAACTGGCTGAATAGTCAATAAGGAGTTTTATTGAATGTGTAACATAATACCTGTATTTATCCAGATGTTCTCACCCTTGGTCCTACAGATGTGCCGTACACTCCGAGGTCACGCAAGACGACCAGACACATCCAGGCCAGTAACTACATGACACCAAAAAAATTAGACCCAACAGTAGGACCACCCATTTATACAGTGGACTTTCATAAATATGGTATGTATTGATGAAATAAATTACAATAATATAAAGATTTTAACCTTGAAATAATTAGAGAAAAAAAATGTTTTGAGATTTCATGATATAAGAGACTAAGATAATATCTCAATAATAAAGAATGTTCTGCATTGCCTGCCTGAAATCAAACCAGCTAGTTATCTATTTTGTCAGCTTATTTTAACCACTAGCCTTTCACAGCTGTGGGTTCGAATCTGCCAGGGACTTTGAAGTCTTTCATGTGAGGTTACAGCAAAAGGTTGTTAGTTAATTCACCTGAGGTGACTGTTGGTGCCAGAAATATTAAATGCACATGAGGACTTCTCCAACCAGTAAAGCTGAAAGACTCCAAATGACCTTATTATATTAATGTCTGTGTCACTTTAAACCCGACAGAAATGCCAAAATAGAAACTAATGGTGACATTACTCTAATTATCAGTTTCAATGACTCATTACAATGACTATATAAATTAATTGTATGTATTATTATCTTATGGTGTCTGTTTGTTTTTGTTTCTTTGTTTCTTATTATTATTTTCTATATTTTGTTCATGTCGGATACAAGCTTAAAGCTTATGTTTTGTACTGTTAACCATAACCGACTATAAATAAAGTTTGTCTTACTGTCTTAATTATTCACTCACTGTTATGCAATTCATAAGGATTAGCTACAATAAATGTATATTTATCTCTAGATGAATGGTAAGTTAAAGTTTTATATAAATTTATTTTAGTTCAGTTGTGTTGGAAGCTATTTTAGCTTAATAAAACACTCTCAAATATGTGACTGGAACCAACCAGTACTAAGCAATCAATGTAAAGTTTCTTGCTGAAGGAAACAAGAGCTTGCCCGGCCTGACAGGGTTTGAACCTATGCGGCCAGCAATTCTTAGATTACTAGTCTGGCGCATTAACCACTCATCCATGCCACCATGGTGGAAAATAGCTTCCTTATATAGTAAATAGATTCTAGACAGTCTAATATTTTCTATATTCTCACAAATTGTTTTTCAGGTAGGATAGGAGACCTGTGTTTGGAGGACAGCTATTGTTTTATACCTAATAGTCATTGTTACCTTGCTCTCTGTCAATGTAATGATGGTTACATACCAACCTACGAAAATACTCAATGTTCAAGTAAGTATCAGGTGTTCAAACAAGTTATTGTTCACATAAGTTTGTGTTAAAAAATACTAAATGTTCAAGTAAAGTATCAGGTGTTGAAATGAGTTATTTTTCACACAAGTTTATGTTAAAAAAATATACAGTGTTTATTTTAGTAAGTACCAGGTGTTCCAATGAGTTATTGTTCACATAATGTTGTGTTTAAGAATTCAAGTAAGTATTTTATTAAAGTACAAGTTTGTGATAAAAACAGTGTTTTATTGATAAGTATTGTATTTAAATGCTATATTAGTCACACAAGTTTGTGTTAAAATGAAATATTGTGTGAAAATGTTTGTGTTCATGTAAGTTTAATATTGATGACGAAAGGGTGTGTCCAAATACTAATTGAGCCGCGTCACGACAAAACTAACATAGTGCGTTTGCGACCAGCATGGATCCAGACCAGCCAGCGCATCCGCGCAGTCTGATCAGGATCCATGCTGTTCGCTTACCAACTCTATTACAAGTAGATTAACTGATAGCGAACAGCATGGATCCTGATCAGACTGCGCGGATGCGCAGGCTGGTCTGGATCCATGCTGGTCGCCAACCCACTATGTTGGTTTTGTCGTGACACGGCTCAATTAGTTTGTGTTCAAGTTAAAGTTACATGATAAATATGTTGAAGTGAAAACTTACAACTAAAGGTCAAAAAGCCTAAATTCAATTCAGGAGTATGCACAAGATAATAGAGAAATTGCCACATATTTTAATTGAAAACCTCGGAGATTCTTTGTCTAATTTGTTTTAAATGTGTTAAAACACTTCACTTTTGCTTCTTTTGCACAATAAAAATTATTATACTGGAAACACAAAGAGAGCAAATGATCTGAAATTAAATTTGCACACAAGAGTTTGAGTCTTATCCTACATGGATTGGACACTGGTGCACAAATGGGAAATAAAAATCTCCTGTCTTTTGGCTCAATTTGGAGTCAATTAAGTAGAATATTCTCTCATTCAGAAATATATATTTTATATGGTGTTTTAACCCTTTCACTGCCATAGGGACGGCTTAAGCCGTCCCTGTTATTTTCGGCGTATTTGCCATATGGACGGCTTAAGCCGTTTCTATAATAATAATAGTAATAATAATAAATTAATAATAATAATAATAAAAATAATAATAAATATAAAGAAAATTATACCATCGACAATAATTATTATTATACTAACAGATTTGGAAACATATATAGTTATTATATCACATATAACAAATAATAATAATTATATTAATTAATAACATTTAATTTCTTAGAAAATCCTCTGGCAAATAGGTGAACAATAAAACAATAACCCTCTGGCAGCGAAAGGGTTAAGTAAATATGACTAATATGACTCATATAAGAAAGTAGAAAGTACTATCTAAGGGAAATGGGGACCTAGTGGGTTTGGTGAATGGAGACCAAGTTGGTTAGGTGTCTGCCTCTTAACCCAGTGATAGTGGGTATGATTCTTATACTGGGATCATCGAACATCCTGACATGCTCCAGTACCGGTCAATCGAAGATGCCGACTTCAGAGACTGGTTCAAATTAACCACAATTTTGTTTAAACAGTATGTTTTTCATTATGCATTAAAATTGTTATTTTGCTTATCAGAAGTGATTCAGGAAAGTACAAATGAAGTTATTCCAGATGAGATGAACACATGCACATTAAGCCCTTGTTTACACCAAGGTGTCTGTAAACTAGATGACAACATAGGATTCCGATGCTTATGTAAACTTGGCAGGACTGGAAACATTTGTAACAAAAGTAAGTTACTAGAATTTAATTTTTCCTCAGCTTTTTAAATACCACTAGGGGCTTATGTTAACGTAATGTTAAAACCCTGACCTGAGCCCTTGTTCACAAAGATTTAAGGATCAGAATCAAAATTTGTATTTCAAAAATTGTACCATTTTTTTTATTCTCAGAAATGTTTTATTTAAATATTAACTTAAAGAAGTAGACTTGAAATGGCTTAAGTGCATGACATTTTAGAAATTATTTATAATTACAAGACAATTTTATTTGCATGTAAAAGTTGATTCAACCAGACCCAGTTGAAAAATATATTGCAATATGTATTCAGATTAAAGATTTATTTGATAATTGGTTAAAAAATATTTCTGTTTCAGGAACATCATTTTCAAAACCATCATTTTCGGGTTCTTCATATCTCACGTTACAACCACTGGGCAATATCACTGAAGATTTCTATCTTGATATTGCTTTCCAATCCTTCAACCGAGATGGTATTTTATTGTTTAGCTCTCAAAATGAAGACGGTACTGGACAGTTTATATCTATAGCAATAAGCGGAGGATATATAGAGTTCAGGTAAGGTTATTTTGCCAGTTTATAGCTTATATAATCGGCTGAGTTATTATTCATTTAATGCTTTAAGTTGCCAAGTTATTATTTTTGTGTTTTCAATGCTCAGCTGCTACTTACATTCAATGCTGAACAACTGAGTTATTATTTTGAGCATTTAATGCCGAGTTGTTAATTTTTGCACGTTCAGTGCTTAGCTGCTAGGTTGAGATTATTGTGTTCAAGATTTAGCAACAAGAGTTTTTAAGGAAGCTGATTTCAAAAAGTTTGCCCATTGGCCCATTTCTGCTATGGGTTTGAAAACCTTCAGAAACATTGAATTCTATTATGTGTGAATGTATTCAGCTTTCTTGAGAAAAGTTGGGGATTGTAAATCAAGCCTACTTAGTGTCTGACATCATGTGCAGATTGGTGTCTTAGGGGCCATCACTTAATAACTTATATGTAAATTTATTGAATTTTATTATGTAATTTATCATTTTTGTAAAAACTTTGAAGTACAAAATTTGATGTTCTGCTTTTTACCATAATGACTTAAGTAGCAAGCTTTTCATATATCCAAATGGTTTTTTCATGAATATTAAAATCTTCCAAATAAATAAAGCAAATTGAATTTCCGTGTCAGGTACATTTTGAATTAAATTCTCATGTAAATTTATATAAATTCATGTAAGTAAATTTATTTATCTTTATACATTTAGGTATGATACAGGGAATGGGCCAAAACAAATTCGTCATCCGTATGAAATCTCCAAACACAAGGTCCATCAAGTCATAGCCAAGAAGATGGGTCAGAAGGCAATGCTGATAGTGGACAATATGGAACCTGTTGTAGCTATCACCATAGCAACGGAACATTACCTAGACCTGTCCGGTAGACTGTATCTAGGATATTTACCACAAAATCTCAGCTTGTAAGTTAATAATGGTTTACAAGTTTAAAAAGAAATCAAGTGTGATAAGATGTTAGTTACTTGTTGAAAAATTGGTAATTACTGGTTAGTTATCCAGGAAAGCCTGGGGTTGTGTTTAGATATCATGACCAAAAAGTATTAAAATCAGCATTATGATCGAACCAAACAATCAAATAGTGCAAGTTTTAAACAATCTGTTTAAACAATCTTTAAAAAGTATAGATGCTTTCAAACTATCAAATTGCCATCAGCATGATTAACAACTGCTAATGATTAAAAAAAAAACAAGGTATGTGTCTGGTAAATGCATTTTGCAAAATATACCATTTAATAGTAAGATGTGCCATGTGATCATGGTCTGCACTGAAATTCTCTATTCAGTTAGTACTGTACATTTTTTGAAATTTTGCCGAAAAATGATATTTAATTTAGTTGTTTTTACCAGTATGAGAAATTATTATAACTTTTACCATTACTGTCACTATCATTTTTTTCTCTCTCATAGAATGAGGGCTTTGTGTAACAGTAAACTTGTCTGTCATAAAAAACTCTAAAAACCATTTGGCACTAAGGTACTGAAAAATGTTCATCAGCTGCTCTGCAAAAGAACAAAATGTCTATCTTGCTCATTTACAACAACATAGCAAAACTAAACTGATCTCGTTTCAGTGTCTCTGAGAAAGTTGGGGTGAACCAAGGATTTGTCGGTTGTGTAGAAAAGCTGACGGCTGGGCATATGGACATGGCAAGAATATTTAACCTGCAATATCCCAGTTCCTCTACTCAAATAGTAGATGGTTTAGATGTTGGTAAGTGGATAGTATTGGTTAGTATAAACATTAAGGGTGTTTGATTTTCCATTCTTATGAAAATGTTTTGACAAAAAAATAATTTCAATCATTTATGTCCCTTTTTGTGAAACTGGATAATTATATATACATGGCTGTGTTACTAATAGTAAAGGCACAGCATTAGTCATTGTCAGAGGAGCAGTGTTTCAATGAAAGGACATCAATTATTTGATGCAGAGTTCAAATGGTGAATGAATAACTTTATTTTTAAGCTATAAAGTTGACTAACATGCACATGAAGTTAAACTAATTTCTGCCATTTGATTGTTTCATTTTGTTTTAGTAAACATAATAATGTACCATGATTATGATTTTATGATCATGATGTTCCTGGTACAAATTGAAATTGGATTGGATGTCCTTCATTTGATGAAATGTATACGGTAGAGAATCTATGAATGATGTGACAATATCTGCATCAAGATATTTTCATTGCAGGACCCTGTGAAGAGAATCCTTGCGGCAGTATGCCATGTTTGAATGGGGCCACCTGTATAATGCTAAACAAAGAGATTTACCAATGTCTCTGTTTCAAAGGCTACAAAGGTACGTTATGAAATTTAGAACCCTTTCACCCTCAAATTTTTGTCATGTTCATTGTTATTTTTTTTTTTGGGGGGGGGGGGGAGGGGAGGGGGGCTCACCATTGGAAAGCTATTAGTAATAATGTGAAGAAATATGACATGATGAATATGAGTTCTATTACCAATGATTCAGAAATCATGTAGGATTAGTTACCACATTTGTCACTTAATGAGAAATTGGTAATTATTGGTTTAGTGATATAGGAAATATGTTTACTGGAATGACTCCTGTTATATGACCTAAAATATGAAGGAATCTGCTATAATTAACCACATACAACAAATGAACTATATTTAAGTAACTCAAAGTATAGAGACTGGTAAAAAAGCTTGATTGTGCCAAATTGCATGACTGTATACTGAAAGTGCTGTATCTAGCCATTAAATAGTTCAAAATTCTGATTTAGGCATTTTTGTTTGTTTTCTTGTTATTCAGAGAATCTGATATTTATCTTTTCAGGATCAAATTGTGAGGAGCCTATAGATATTTGCACAAATTCACCATGCCACCCAAGTGCTACATGCAGCCTGGCGGATACTGGAGAGATCTTGTGTCATTGTCCAGAAAGTAGAGAAGGGCAATACTGCGAGTATGGTATGTGTTTGGGACGAAAAGGCTAAAATATAGCTTACAGAATGTCATAGGTTCTACTCAGGTGCCAGCGTGTGCCTTAAATAATGCATAGAGGAACACTTGAGGTCTTCCTCAGACAATAAAGCTGGAAAGTCACCATTTGACCATTACTGTTTCAGTGTGGCTTAAATCCCAACAATACAACATATTCTGTTTCTTTATACTACAATGAATTAGAAGTATTTCTACTGATAATGTTTTATGAACCAATATAGAATAAATAACAATTTTGCATAGAAATATAATCCATCATGACTTTGCCAAATTTAATAAAACTACATTACAATTTAACCTAAAAATGTATAAGAATGTGTAATTTAAATGCACTATTTATTTACAAGGCTTCCTTGCCTGATGCCAATTTTACAATAGTCTTAAGCAAACAGGCTAAAATCTGCTCCTGCTTAAGTTAACTGTACAATAAAAAATTTTTCTATTTTTATCTTTTTAATTATCATACCATTTTATAGACATTATATAGTACATATGTTATATAATGGTATGGATTGGCATAGAAAATAACTGCCTCCAATTGGAAATGACCTACAAAATCCATGCCATTTTATTCAGAATGTTAATGTCAAGCTGTATATTGCAGAGAAACTAGCGGAGATAGAGGTGCCAGAGTTTGGTGGAGATTCCTTCCTGGTGCTGCCAATATCTGATAATCTGTCTGAACAAACTAGTATAGATATTTGGTTCTTAACTAAATCTTCTAATGGTAAGTATATCTAATTTAATTTATGCTAACCAGTGAGATATTACTGAGCTTTATGCATGAGATGTGATGATAAAATTAACATATCATCAACAGTATGTTATCCACAACGACATAAGAAAATCTGAAATATCCACATTTTCACTTGTGGTACACACTCATGAAAACATTGCAATTTCTTCACTTCTCAGTGGTGTGATATATAGCATATTCAGGTAAAACAAAGAAATTTCCTTTATACAGTGTAACTTCCGAAAACCGAACACCCATGGGACTTGTCAAAAAGTTCGGATTTCAGAGGTTTCCGGAATTCAGAGGTTTATGATAATGCGGACAAGACTAAGCCACTTAATATCACTAAATGTCAAGGAAGAAGTGGCCTTTACTGTAATATCATATATAATAGTCTTTTAATCAAGATAAAGATGTGAATAAAAAGAATACATTTTTATCTTACTTGCAAATGCTTCGGAATTTCTATCAGTTTGTAGAAATGTTGTTAATTGCATAAACTTACATATCGTCCGATGCTAGTTAACTAATTATTACATCAAATGCTATAAAATCCCTAAAGACTTTTGATGCATACATTGTCCAATTAATTGTCATTTAATCCGCTAATAAACACTTCAAATTAACTGACCGCCGTAAATTACTTTGATTAACCGCATCACTTCAAACATACAATTTCACAGTTTGTGATTTTAACGAGTGTCAAATTACACGGTCACCGCTAATTAGTAAACAATCGATAGGGAGATCTATTAAATCTTCCTGCAGGGTTTACAATGTATTTCACACCTTTGGATATTTCCGGTTTTTGGAGGTAAAATTGCATTGACTTGACTCTAATTTTTCGAAAATATCGTCCGGAATTCAGAATTTAGAAGTTCCGGAATTCAGAAGTATTATATTAATAGAAAATAGAAGGGAAAAAATCGGGACCGAAAAAATTGTTCGGTATTTAGAAGTTTCCGGATTTCAGAAGTTCCGGAATTCGGAAGTTACACTGTATATCTTTATTAATGATAACCACAATTACATATTTAGTAATTTAAAATAATAATACATGTAATAAAAAAACAACAGAAAAACCTTTGACCACTTACATAATTATTTATTATATAGTCACACACCTGTGAAAGTTATTCTTTCATTGTTCAAATGTGGGGCCTGTGAAAAAAGGTGGTAATGGTAACGAACCATGAATCACTTACCCACCATGGCAGAGTTCAAATCCAACCAAGGACATATCTTTCTTATATGTGAGAAATATATGAAGCAAGCTTAAGGAAGTTTAGTAATTCTTCTCTGTCCCTATATATATGCATGAAATAATGCTAGAAGGGACATTATAAGATTATTCTCCACCTATAAATCTTGCAAGAATTGCCATATGACACTTGTTATCAGTCTTATGTCCTTGAGTCACTATAATGAACAGCTTCAAAGAGCAATGTAGTTAATGTATAAATATTATTTTCATGTTTCACACACTGATATTTATTGCATTTACTTCAGGTATGTTGTTATATGCAAGTCAGTACCTTGGTGGCCAAGGCGATTTCCTGTCTTTAAACATTGATGATAGATATGTAGAGCTCAGATTTGACCTTGGAGATGATCCTGTTGTAATTAGGTAATGTTATTTATATAAACTATAAATTATATATGTTTATCTTTGAATATTTCTTAAATTAGTCAAGGAGTTGATTTTCTTAAGGTGCCATCATGTTGTTTTCTATTCCAATGTATCTGAAGATATCGTATTGGCATTCCTTAGTGAAAAAGTTACATATGTATGTAACAAATACACCAATGAGTGATTTTCTAAAATGTTATTTGATTATATTTTTAATGAAGGTACAATTACATTATTCATCAAAACAAGTTGTTTTTTGAAGGTGCCATGATGTTATTTGCTTAAATAGTTGTTCCAATATTTCCATGCTTTGTATAAATAAAATGGATAGAAGTTCTTTGTTGCTCCTTTTGTAATATAGAAAGTACACAAACTTTAATTTACACTTTGGCTTTGAAATGTTATTTACTTCATTTTAATTGTCTGATATATCAGGAGCACAGATAGACTGAAGTTAGATAAATGGCACAAGGTGTCTGTAAAGAGGACAGCAAAAGATGCAGAGTTGATCATAGATGATGGCCTTCCTGACAAAGGTTCTTCTCAGGTATAGCCATAATAACAAGCATATTAATGGAATATTAATTGATAACAATTATAATATCTTAACAAGTATTGAGGATGGACATTATGATACTGATGTTATTGATTGTAATGATGAACTTAATATTTGTTTTCACCACTTGTGGTTTTGGTCTGTCAAAAAAGCTGAGAAAAAATGAAGATAGAAAATATTCATTTTCAGTTAAATATGAAGCTGTAGCTTATCACTTAGCAACTACAGACTGAACTAATGATGGTTGAAGCAACTTTTACAGTCTTTTTTGAAATAATTCAAAACTTATACAATCAGTGATTATCACATTCTAGTTTTGTATGATAAAACTTGGTTGTGACACAAGTATGGCTTAAACTTGCGATCCCTGGGCCGAAGGCAGAAAGGTGAACCACCTGCCCACTGCTCAGTTTGTAAACATGACAACAGAATAAAATATAGAATAAACCACATACCATTTCCTGTTTGGTATCAATAAATTGTGAAAGATTTAATATAGTTTGTATGCATTTCAGGGACATCTTACTGGGCTACAATTTACTGGTAGTCTGTATGTGGGAGGTTTTAAAGATAAGAGAGATTTGCCTACAGGATCACATATAACAGACAGATTCAGGGGTGTTATACAGAGGGTAAGATAAACTGTTCCTATAAACTATAGTGATATGGTTGTTTCCTGTCAGAGGTGGTTTACAATGTTATAGCAATAACCATCTTGTTGTAAAAAGATTGCCTTTACTTTCATTACCCAAAATTAATGAATATATCTGAAATAGTACAAAATGGAAACCTTAAAGAATAATTTAAAATGTCAAAGTATACAGTAAAGAATGCTAAAATATTAAAAAAGGCTCTTTGTCAGTATTGTATGGTAGATTTTAAAATTCAAATGCTCATCATAGATTGTTGGTATACATTATGACCATTTATACAGATACAGAACCACGTAAACCAAAAAGTAGATTTTATGTACAAAATGGTAATAACATATTACGGGTGAATTTTACATGTTTTTAAGTCACATTGATAAAATAGTGATATAGCTAGAATTAGAACAACAGTACAGTTCATTTAAATTGACTTCATCTGTAGTGGTATTCACGACTAAAAGTACCACTTTCTCTCCTTACTGCTGCCTACTCAATTTTTGGATTTACATTAATTTTAAGATCGCCCTTGTATATCGGATGCAGATTCATGTCTCTTAAGATGCACAAAAGGATGTGCCAGGTCTTATTCCTCCAGTAGTACAGAAAAAATGCAATATAAAACATTTACCATGCTTCATGCTGATGTGACCAGCTGCATTCCTCATTATAAAATTGACAACAACAACGAAGGTCAAAATATGAAAACATTTTTATACTATTTCTAGATTTATATCAATGGAAAGTTGATTGAGGAACCAATTAGTTCAGCTTTAGAGACGTTGCACGTATCGCAGTACACTGGCCCACCATGCCGTATGAACCCTTGTTTGAATGGTGGTGTGTGTATACCAAATCTGGACAAAGTTGACTGTAAATGTCCGAAGCGATTTATTGGACAGTTATGTGAGAAAGGTTAGTACCTTATATTCATTTGGCTTATTTATACTTTGTGCAGTCAGATTTAAAACTTCAAATATTTTTTCCTGATTTTGATACATTTTTGTTAATTTTTTCACAGTTTATAATTTTCAAACAATAATACCAGAGCTAAGCTAAAGAGATTTAAAGCAATTCAGGGTATATTTTTTTGTCCGGAGGGATTGCATTATTTCAAATGAATCGTAACACAATACTTTGGTAAAGCTCAGTTAACTATCAGTCAAATATTTCAAAACATTATAGATAAGTAAGTGTTCATTAGTAAGCATTAACAAATTTAAATTGGTTGGAGGGGTGCATCAAAATCAAGAGGTTAATTCCTCTTCACAATTAAGAGAGAGAAAACACCAGTGACACACATAATAATGCTTGTTGATGATTCAAATATTTGCAAAGTAATCAGTTTCTTTAAAAAAGTATCATTTTTGACAATTCATAAAGGAACACTAATTACAAATCATTGGTTTACCTTTCTTAAAAAATATTGCTTTATACATAATAGTTATTTTAAATATCTACAAAAGCATCGTCTGACCTAAAAATGAAATATCCAACTGATCAGTAAAGTAGTGGAGCGTGACATAGTCCCTTTGAAGAGTAGGCCAGAATTGAGTTGAAGCTTTTCGAAAGATTTCATTTTAACTTGTTTTCTCTGTAAGAAACTATAGTTAGTAAAGTGAGAACTTTTAAATATTGACCAATAAGCTTTATTAAAAATCCAAATATTGCCTTCTTTTAGTACTTAGGCCTTTTGATTCAAATTGTGAAATAATTTCGGATTTGATGTTTACTTTCATAATTCATTCATCTTATATATAAGACATGAGGATTTTTTTTTATCTACAGCTTTTGTTTCCGTTGCAGTGGCGGAAAATTTGGAAACTAGTCGACCTGTGAGATTTAACACAGAAACATATCTCCAGTATTATAATGAGATCATGTCAAGGTACATAAGATTTTTAATATTCAGTTTACAATCAATAGAATACTTTAAGATATTGAAAACGTTTGAAAACACACACTAAGTTTTAGTCAGTTCAAGTGATTCTACTCTTAGATGCAAGCTCATGCCTGAAATAATGAAATATTAGGGACGCTGAAGGTCTTCCTCCACAAGTAAATCTGAAAAGTCACCATATCAAGGGTTAATCGCAAAATTGCTGTAACTTAAATGAAGTAAAGGACTTACAACAGTTTTTGGGTCAACCCTTGTTATGACCATAAGAGTGTGTACAACTTACACCCAACAAAAAAAAGGCATTACAATCTAGTTTTCATTACTTGAGGCAATCATCCTGGGTTAAATCTTGTATGTTTTTTTAACCAGTTATTTCCCATTCTAACATGATTCCTTTACAGAATTTTTTTATTGAAAGTGATAATAGTCAATTAACTTTTACAGGCTGTTTTCAAATACCGTAACAATTAAGTTGTCAGTTAACAATAAGATCATAATCAAAATGATAGTGTTTGTATTAACTCAGCATGTCTCCAGGTTCATGCAAATTTTATAAAGATTTTGAAAATATATTTGAATATAAAATATTGTGATTTAATCAAAAAGAAGCAATTTACGCATTGCATTATCAGTGGCACTTACAACCCAAGTTAATTAACAAAAAGTGGTCAAAATATGCATAAATAGCCGTTACTGCGTAAGTAACGTGGTAGAAATATAGTTGTTGATACTGAAAAATCAGTCATTAATTGCACATGACATGTAAAATATTACTTGAATCTAAAATCATTTAACTTTTCCTAAAATCTTAGAACATATTTCTCAAATTTGATTTTATTAAAATAGTTTGACTCATCTGGAGGCATGCAGCTTTAACACCAATTGTGTATTAATATTTATTAAAGAACAGTGCAAACCAGCTCTAGATGAAATAAAATGACCTTATATTACCTTTGATTTTATTTCAGTCAACCAGCACAGAAGGTAAACAAATACCAATTTCGATTCCGTACACATCAGTTGGCTGGGCTTCTTATATTCCAAGGTCAAGGACCAACTGTGAGTGACTATATAGCTCTTGTTATTAGTGATGGTTATGTTGAGCTGAGTTACAACCTTGGCAAACAGTCATTAAATAACCTTCTACGGGCAAGATCGTCAGTGTTTGTCAGTGACGGTGAATGGCATACTGTGCATGCAGAAAGGTGAGTGCCTTTTTTTATTTGAATTCCAAGGTTAGTGTAAAAAAGTAATTTATCTGAGATATAAGAAATTTGAAAACACTTCCAGGCTAGTCGTCATGTAGTTAAAAATGGGTAGGGTAAACTTTTTCCACCTTTAAGTAAAGGGAAAGCCTTAGAAAAAGTTTACGGGGTTTTTTTAGGCATGGGAAAAAATATACTTTTTTATAAAAACCTAAGAAAATATTTAAACCCTTCCTTTTTTTTATTGAATATATGTTCCCTTTTTAAATGCAGATAGAAAACAAATATGAATTAACTTAGGTCCCAAAAATTTAGTCTTCCTTTGCCAAAATGTTTTGTCTGTTTATTTTGTAAGTCGAAACATTAAATTTGGGGCAGAAAATTGGCCTTTCCAGTACACCTAAGTCAAACTGAGCCTGCTTCATCTTAATGGGCGCTCCTCAGGGATTTTATTTGTTTTTTTTTCTAAAAAGATTCACAATTTAAACAAGAAAAATGTATTTGTCTCCTAATCAGTACATGTACATGTAAAACTTTCCTTCAATCTGTTTTGCATTATTGATATTTAGGAATATCATCCTTTGAACACATGTTCTATGAAATATCTTTTAGAATAAAGAAAGACACGAAAATACAATGAAAATAATATTTTATTTCAGGGACCATAGAGAAGGCAGGTTACAGGTTGATAAAGAACCTATGATAACTACAACATCAGATTCAGGGGCCACACAACTTGATACAGATGGCATGCTTTGGATAGGTACTATATTATTTAATTCTCAATGGAAGATTTCAATTTTTAGTTGAAGAGACTGATGGGTTTGTGTAAAAAATATTAAATAAAATGTTTTCAGTTTTCTAAATCACTAAATATTGCTTTTGGTTTCTGTACGTATAATTATGGCTTCAACAAAAACATCTTTTTCGTACATTGTTGTTGTTTGTTTTTTTTCAATAACTCTGACTCGATGACACTTGTCACACTTCAAAATCATGTATTAAGTTTTAATTATCATTGGTACATTTATGGTGTATGTTATTCATTTTACCATTAAATTTGTATTGTCTGAAATTCTATTAGAATAGTAAAAGGTGCTCAGTACAACTGGAATCTTTTGATTTTCCTGTAGTTCTTTTTTGAAAATTTATTGATGGTTAGTATAAAGGGATAAGATTTTGTAATTCGTGTTCTTAATTGTACTAGTTTTCTGTGGCATATCTAAGACTGTTATGTTGCACTTTCTGTAATCTCATGTAGATAGTCAACCAAACCTGAGTGGAGGCATGGCCGAGTGGTTAACGCGTCGGACTAGTAATCTAATTATCGCTATCCACATGAGTTCAAACCCCGTCAGGGGCAAGTCGTTGTTTCCTTGAGCAAGAAACTTTACACACATTGCTCAGTACTGGTTGGTTCCAGGAACGGATTCGAAAGTGTGTCTATAAACTTATAGCTTCCTACACAATCTAACTAAAATAATTTCTGTATAAACCAAACCGATCCTGAATTAGCAATTTTAAAATATGTTTTCCTTGCTTTCGAGGGAACTTATTTTTCTAGATTTTAACATATCAGAAACATTGTTTCTATTTTCAGGTGGTCGGCGAGATCTGCCTACAGGATTGCCTCAAGACTATTACAAAGGTTTTAAAGGCTGTCTAGGGTTTGTGTTTATTCTTGACAAACCTTTACATCTGTATGATCACAGAAACGGTCTTGGAAGTACTATGGAGTTTTGTCACTTATAGCATGAGGTTTTCACGATGATCATTCGCGATACATAAGTCATCATATTTTTAAAATCAATCAATGTTGAATATTTATATATCCTAAAAGGTTGTGGCAAGAGTGTGTACATGTGACAAAAGTCTTTCTGAACAAAGAGCAAATTTCGAAGGAGTGAGTAAGAGAGAATGAGAGATGAATATGACAGACACAAACATAACTTAAACTAGATTTTTATGCCACTATCTGTTACAGTTTTGATTGTTTTTTGTTAGCAATTGACCAGAGATGGACTGATATACTTAGTAAATAAGTTCTATGTCTGAGTCAACAATAACCTGTGCTGTTTCTTTGTTTTATAGTTAGGCCTATTTTACTTTTTTGTACCGGTGGGTATGTTCAAAAGAATGAGTCCAGTGCATGTGTTAAAGATTGCAAATTATGTATGTAAATATAGATTTATATATACATTGTGACCTTATTGTTCAATTTCCCTCTCTCACAACTGTAGAATAGAGAAAATAAGAATCCCTAAAGAAATTCCATACCGACAAAATTTAAAATGTTGCAGACTCGGTAACATTGAGCCTGGTCATCCCACTGGTAACTTCAGGTTCTTTTCATTGGAGAAGCAATCCGTTTTATTTTACGTCAGCTTATAGGAGGTGGTTGAATGAACTTGCCCATTGTATTGCGCTCATGCATGAAAAAATGCTTACTAGACTACCAAAATCTTCCTTGAAATAATGCACAGAGGTGCACCCCTCCTTGAAATGATGCATGGAGGTGCACCCCTCCTTGAAATGATGCATGGAGGTGCACCCTTCCTAGAAATAATGCATGGAGGTGCACCCCTCCTTGAAATGATGCCTGGGTGCTGCACTCTTCCTAGAAATAATGCATGGAGGTGCACCCCTCCTTGAAATGATGCATGGAGGTGCACCCTTCCTTGAAATGATGCTTGGAGGTGCACCCTTCATGGAGGTGCACCCTTCCTTGAAATGATGCATGGAAGTGCACCCTTCCTTGACATGATGCATGGAGGTGCACTCTTCTTTGAAATGATACATGGAGGGACACTTAATCTTCCTAGAAATAATGCATGGAGTGGCACCTTAGACATTCAATGAAATAATGCAAGGAGGTGCATCCTAGATCCTCCTCCGTCAGGTGAATTTGAAAAGTTGCCATATGATGTTTATTACAGTTTCATTAAGTAAAGAGTAGTGTATACAGTTGGGATGATGAAGCCAAATGCAATGAAGAGGGCATGAGCTATTATATTATGAATCGGAAGTTTCTGAATAATTGTATTTATACTTTACTTTTCAATAAAGATATAAAAGATGTACACATAAATGATATGTTTGCATAACACAATGTTTAAAAATAAGTAAAAGATTTGGTTCATATTATAATAGCACGCTCAACAAGATGCCATTTAGATTGGTGTCTTTTGGCGTCATATTTTGTACATGTATCTACCGATTTTCCAATGCAAAAACTATAGAATATGATACAAAATAAGATTTTCTGATGCAAAACTTATAGACTATGATAAAAATAAGATTTTCTGATGCAAAACTTATAGACTATGATAAAAATAAGATTTTCTGATGCAAAACTTATAGACTATGATAAAAATAAGATTTTCTGATGCAAAAATATAGAATTTGATACTAACTAAAAATATTTTATCAAGTTCTTGAAAATATTCAGAAATTCTCACTTTCTGTTGAAATAGGGTCCATATTTGCTAAAATATAAACATTCTTCTGTATATATTGTCTGAACCTTTATTTGTTAATTGTATATAGTACATCTTATTATACAGGAAAAGAAAGATTTACTTATAACACTTTGCATCATTATTAAATGTTCATTCAATTTAAGATGAATAAGTATTTTGGCTTGGTTTAAAAGATTATTGAACAAGAAAGAAATCATTCTTACTTTGATGAGGAAAACTCTAGGTATGTATGTAAAATTATATTTTCAGAGACAAATAGCTAGATATGTGACCATTACATTTCATGCATTAGTCTTATGTAACAAATATTTTAATTCTTTCCATGGTAATAACTTAAAAAATCTGTGATTGTGGATGTGAATTTTTGTACAATGTGAATTTTTGTATAGTGTTTTCAATGATGTAAGCAATGATTCAAGCCTATACGTATTTTGTATGTAAAAAATATATGTGAACACATTTTCTCTTATAATAACATAGTGTATGTGTACTGACTTTCATATATTTTTCAATGTAAACTATCATATTATATTGACCAAATTTAATTGGACTTCAGTTATGAAGACCTATAATGTCTTAACTTTGCCTACATTATCTAAGTCATATACTATTCATTTAATTAGAACTAAATGAAATATAATTTTAATTTTGTATTCTTTCTGAAATAGATAAAAAATGACAATACTTCTTTGAATAAAATAAGTTTTTAAAAAATATCTAATAAAATATCTCGAAAAAATGTTTTAAAATTTTGATATAATTGTTTTTAAATAGGACAAAGCATTGTGAATTAGAAATTATACTACTTGAAAAAGAAAATGTCTTGAATTAAACAGCAAGAATGGCTCGAATTATAAAATAATATATTTAATGAAAATAAAATGCATTGAATATAATGAATAAGAAAAAAAGTGAAATCATGAAGAAAAAAAACTGAAAAAAAGTCATAATTGTTTATAGTAGAATATATCTTGAAGTAAAGAATTATGTGTATAATTATACTTTATAAAAATGTTTGATTTAAAAATTTAAATAATGTCACATTCTTATTCAAAATATTTTTTAATTAAAATATAGTATTTAGTTTGTATTGAAATAAGAAGCTTTGAATAAGATATATGTCATTAAATAGAAAAAAATGTATTAAATAGGAATTTATTAACTGTCCTATTTGATGTAGGTTATCCCTGTTTTATGAGCATTTGTTATTTAATTGGTTATATATTTTATATAAATTGTTCAATTTTGCAATTGATTTTGGTCAGTTATGAAATGTTGTTAAAACTTTTCAGATTTCATTTTATATACATGTACAAATATATATTCCTTTTATATGCATATATTTGTATAATGCTGTTTTCAATATGATGGCTTTCAGACCAAATAAGTTTATATTTTAGTTAATTATTAAGCTTGTAAATAGTGCTTGTTATGTTGATACAATACCCAGTTAAACCCTACTTTTTTACTGACCTACCTATTGACATGGATGGGGCATTTCATTAACAAATGCACCCTAAAATGTTTTGGTTAATGTGCATCACATCATATTAGTTTACAAAAGAAGCAACTGAAATCGCTAAAGAACTCTAAAACAGTTTTTGACTCTTGATAATTTTTAAAAATTACCACTTATAATTATATTTTGAAGATATTGAAGAGATCATCTGGACTAAGCAAATTTATTTTTTAAGACATCAAAGAAAGAAATGATTCTATAGGACGAATAAACTTAGAAAAGTCAAACATTGATAATTGGTATATGAGATAATTGTGTTATCATAGACAATGAAGAAAGTTCAATATACCAAACTGGAAGTGATATTGTTTTATTATGATTTTGTATGTAAAATGATTGTTGATTCTCCGCGTTTGAAAAATTTCATCATTTTTACCTTCTTAACCAGCAAATTTTGCCATGAATTCAATGCTGTGAGCAGAATTTTTTCGTGACTTTGAGTTAAATGATTATTTGTCGATTGACCCTTGCTGAGAATTACACTGGATTAACAGTCTGTCACTTTTAGAAACAACGGTAATCATTAGAAAGTTATCATAGGAAAGTCGATTCATTGGACAGCCCTGCCAGCTATGAAAAAATGTTGAAACCTGTATAAAAAGGCAGACAACAATACTGAAAGCACTGCAAAATTTAATACCTGATGGCCTCGACTCATTTGAATTAGCCTTTTGGCATGTTGTAAAATTCTTTGTCTTCCTTGATTAATGTCCAAATCGGCACTTTAGTGCAGTAACGTAATAAGTTCTTCTAAATTCAATAGGAGTTAATCAGTAATTACACTAAGGTGACGAAATATGCAAATGTTTGGCTTTTTTCTAAATTACAAGATTCCAGTTCAGAACGAAAATTTATTACTTAAAATCTATCCTTAAACATGTGGATATTATTTCTTTTACAAAATCGCTGTACATTTAATGTTCACATATTATTAATGAAAGCATTCCGACTAAATTAGGTAAGTTACTGATCGACTTTTATAATAAGTAGATATAAATATATAATTATATGATTGTTTTATAGTGTACTATAATTGTTTTTATGAAATGAATGTCATTTATTAATTTGTATGTATTGATTTCTTATCAATAAAATTCATAAAAATATCATTCTAATTTTTGGTTTTTATTTTGTGTCTGTACTTTTGATACAGTGTTTAATGCAACAGGTAACATTTAAATAAGTTTGAAACAATACGGATAGAAATAGCGGGGAAAAAGATTGAAGGGATGCCTTTTCCATTTTATATTGCAACTGTTTATAAATGAAACTGAAATAACTGTATATGTATATATATATAGTCATGAGTGGGAAATTATTCATAGAAAAATCGGCATTTATATGTTCTCTTCTGTAATGCATATGCAGATTAAGGTCGTTGACTTCAAACCACTTGCCCCTCACCGCTGTGGGTTCGAATCCCGACAGGGACTTTGAATTCTTTCATGTAAGAAAGCTATCCAGCTAGCTTACGGAACGTCGATGGTTCTACTCAGGTGCCCGTTTGTGCCTGAAATATTGCACGGAAGGGCACATGAGGTCTACATCCACCCGTAAAGCTGGAACGTCGCCAAATGACCTATACTGTGTCGATGTGACGTAAAACCCAAAACAAACAAACAAACATATGCAGATATATATAATGGCATATATACGCATATAAATATCCTGCAAAAAGCAATCCTTCTTTATAGCTGAAGGACCTTCATATATATATACAGTTGCTGTTTCCAAAGCACCATCATCATGTTGTTATCATAACATAATATTTATATAAGCAAATCTTTTAGGGCGTATAATTAATGTACTCAATATAAGTGAACATCCTATGAAGTTTGACAGTTGTAAAACTGTTAAAAATATTAAGGTCATTTGATTTTGACCTTGTAACCCAAATATAGATATGGATCTTTTATTCAATATAGGCAATCATCCTATGAAGTTTGAACACTGTAAGCCAAATAAAACTTGTGTTATGCTCCAGAAAACAAACACAATACTCAGTGTTAAGGTCATTGTGACTTTGATCTTATGACCCTAAATCATTAGGGGTCATGTATTGGACATGGCTGTTCATCCTTTAAAATTGTACAGCTGTAGGTTGATTAATACTTAAGTTATTGAGCGGAAACTGTTTTCAGTTTTAAAGTAATGGTGACCTTTGACATTGTGACCCAAAAAATCAATAGGGGTCTTCTACTCTAT